TTCCGCGCCAGGACGAGCATGTACGCCAACTCTTTTTTTTTTTTTTTTTTTTTTTGTTAAAACGATACGAGAGTGGAATGGGTTGTCGGAGCTGCAAGTGTGCAGTGAAAATGAAGATGTTTTTTTGTTTTTTTTTTGAGCATTGTAACCCCCCTGCTGTAACGCCCTCGGGCACTGCGGGGTAATCTTTGAATAAAGAATAAAGAAAAAAAAAAGTGGTGATTCAAAAAGTTAAGCATTTTCTCTCTACGACAAGGCCATGGAAAGATAAACTAGGTACTGAATTTTTACCACACTACCAAGTGCAATCTGAGCTTTCAGAGGTGAATGGCTTACTTCTACGTGGAGAACGAGTTGTCGTCCCATCTACGATGACTACCAAAGTCACGACTCACAGGTGGGAATAGTACGAACCAAACAAAGGTTGAGACAGTGGTATTGGCGGCCAGACATGGATGCCGAAGTGGAACACGCAATTCGAGGTTGCCTGACCTGCAAGACAGCAGACAAGTCTGCAAAGACATCTTCTCTGCATCCCATACCACTTCCCGCGCATCCCTGGGAGAAGATTGGTATTAACATTGTTGGCCCAATCGAGAGGGCAGCACAGCGCCATTGATTTGTTATAACCGTCATGAATTATTTCAGCCGCTGGCCTGAAATTGCTTTTGCCAGTACTGTAACTTCTGACACTGTGAAGATATTCCTGTTGACTCTCTTCAGTCGTGAAGGGTATCTGACTGAGATCGTCTCCGATCACGGAAGCCAATGTACATCGGCAGACTTTGAGGATTTGAGGAACGTGGCGTTCGTCAGTTTTTCATCCGTATACTACCCGCAGGCAAACGGCTTAATCGAAAGATTCAACCGAGTTATGAAAGGATTTATCTAGCTGGCACTCCTTCAGCAACGAAACCTTGAGGAAGCGCCAACTGAACACATCGGAGTGTACCGTGCAATCCCTCACTCAACCACTGGCGTATCACCTGCATATTTGTTGCACAACAGACACCCCCGAACGAATTCGTTGAATATTGTCGGATGGCCATCGGAAAACTTCTCCACCGATCCGACACCAGCAATGCGTGAGCTGAGAGAACGAGTCAAGAAACAGCAGTGCGCCTCACAAAAGTACGTGGACGACAAGAGGGGCGCACGCATGCCGGTCCTTCAGCCAGGCGATTTTGTCCGAGTAAAACTGCCGGGACATCAGTCACACGATATTCAAAACCAAGAAAACTACTCGATCACCGAGGACAAAATGCTTTCCTGCTCGATGATTTCAAGGTTTGGAATGCCAGTAAGCTCTCCAAAATTCCACGGGAAGTCCTGCCACAGATTACTTTCGAGGAAGAGAACAGCCTGTCACCAGTGACTTCGTGGTTCCAAGTCGACAATACACTCCAGCCAGGCAATTTCTCTTTGGCGGGAAAACAGCTGATGTGAAATGCACGAGACGTTGACCAGCAAGGACAGCAAACGCAGCCCCTTCGTCGGAGCTGCAGAAAGCGAAGGTCTCCAGAAAGATTTGGGCACACAGTGCCATAATCATTGCACTCAGAACTGATTAAGTTTAGTTCGTTCATTTTAGTACTTCTTCTTTTAGTTTGTTTATATTGATGCGTACATTCCTTAAAGAGAGGGGGAAATGTGTTTGATGTGAAGAAAGAAGAAGTGATGAGGCAATTATTATTATTCCTCGTTCCAATCTTTGTAAAATCCCCAAACATGCCTCTGCGAACAACTGTAACCTAAACTGCGGATTTTTTTTTTTTTTTTTTTTTTTGAGTCGGCTATGTTTGGTATCGCTTTTAGAATGATACCACATGTAGAACCTTTCATTGCCTTCCAAATTAAGCAGAGTTTGTGTTTTTATCTTGTACGAGTACTGAGAAATAAAGTATGAAACGGAGGGTTTTCACTTTTCGTTCAATTTCCAGCACGCTCTATATATATATATATATATATATATAAAACATTTTTAGTTTTTTTTCTCACGTCGCGTTCTTTTTACACCCTTATTTTAGCCAGAATACATTCCGTTAGATGTATTTGCCTTGGTTTTGAGTTTTAAGCTTCTAAACATGCTAAAAAAGAGCAAATGCCGATGGTGGGTTTTGACGATTGTCGTGTGTGGCGTTTTTGAACCACTCAATGTCAAAGTATTCAAAAGAGAGCTTCTATATTTTTTATTATGATATATATATATATATATATATATATATATATATATATATATATATATATATATATATATATATATATATATATATATATATGAACAAATATGTGCAGATGAATGAACCGTACTTAATCCACTGAATCAAAGAATCAAAGTTTCCAGGAACCCGCCGAAAGCCAAAAATTGGCGGAGCCAATTTTTGGCTTTCGGCGGGTTCCTGGAAACTTTGATTCTTTGATTCAGTGGATTAAGTACGGTTCATTCATCTGCACATATTTGTTCATATCCTCCTCGGAGACCACGTACGATGACGTGAAGTGCCCGTGTTGTATATATATATATATATATATATATATATATATATATATATATATATCATGGCCGTTTTTTTCTTTTTTATATATATATGTATATATCCTGGAACATGAATTTAAAGTATCAAACTGCCCATGTCCTGTGCTTTGCCAACCCCAGCGCGTGGCTATGATACACGCTGGTGGCATTTAATCGGCTCCAGATCACCTGACCACTTGGTCTGACTGCGAGTAGAGGGGGTGAGAGCTGCTCGTTCTTCTCTAATTTTTGTCTACCACTACCATTGCACAGGGAGAGAAACTAATGCGCGTTTCCTATGACCATTTTTTTTTCTTTAAATTGTGTGTCTGCGCTTGTCTCTGAAAAAGAAGGGAAAAAAAGGAGGGGTGGGCTCATTTGGTAAGCCGTGCCTGCTAGAAAATCCCGTGCCGGTGAATACATCTCAAGTAAACAAAGCTTTACCTCGCACCTCGGATTCTCCAGCAAGATTGATCCGTTTCACGCGTATTTGTCGCCGGGCGGCAGAGACAAGTAGCTCTACTCACGCCGCTATCTGCCAGACGGCCCCAGTAAACTGCCGTCAGCGACAGCACATTGATCAATGAAGTAATTGCGACGATCACTTAGTGAAGACCACCACCATTGATACGTATACTCAGAACGCAGAGGAAGATGGGAATTTCGGAGTAGTCGTCACGAACAAGTTTATAGTTCACACAATATGTTGACGCCTGAGCACACCGGCAATGGCGTCTCGTTGTGAAATGGGCTTTCATTTCGTCGAAGCTTGAGGGCAGCTTGAATACAATTTGAGCTTCGATTTTCGAGTAAGCGTGTTTTATTATTGCTAGAAGAAACAGGAAGCTATTTCTTTTTTCTGTATGTTCCAAAGTTTTGTCGGCAGGTCTTTCTAATGCTACCAAGAAAGAAAAAAATACATTAATTCATTTATGTAATGGTCAGAAATAAAAGAAAGGTTAACAGAAAAAGTCTCGGCTGCCTATTCTGTATGGGAGATGGAAAGTGGGAAAGTAGCAGAACACTAGATAAAAACAAAGCAACAAAATACAAAGTACACTAGCCTATAATTCGAATGACAGAGCAGTCATGACGCTCGATGTTCGAAGTTTTGTAAATCTGGAAATGTAATAAAGTTCTCCTAGAAATGTCACAGTGGCACTGCTCAAAACTCTAAATGTCACGTAAGACATAAAACAACGCTCGATTGAGCACGAATTCCTTCTAGCCTTGCCACGAATGCCAGCTTCCGCAGCAGCCTGGCGATACCGCCAACAAATATTATTTGCCAAATGTAAGAATTAGTTCACGAGGCTGCGGCGCAAAGCGAGGTTCGGCTGCACCACAAGAAGCCTGTCTGTGCAGCAAAGCCGCCCCGGAGGACGCAGGAACGTGACTGGCGCCCGATGAGCGAGATAATTGGACGCGCAACAGGCCCGCTCACATTGTCCAATTTAGGAGTCTGCCCCAAAGGACAAAAATATTTTTTTTTTTCTTTTTGTTGCGCTGCTGTGCATGATGCCCTCCAGTCGCGGGTCGTGCGCTAATAAAACGAACGGCTCGACGCAGAGCTGTATATTGTCGATCTCGGACGTGAATCCCCATGTCCGGTAAGTAAAAGTTAGCGACTCGTGTTTCGGTCCCAGGCTTGCAAAGAAACCTCATTACTCAAACGCCGTGACGTCAGTCGGAGGGAGGGTTTGCGCACGCCATTAGACGATCTTCAGCAAACGCACGCAACTCGGCAGAGAGTGACGGGTGGAGTGTGCGCTTTGCGTGAGGCGGTTTAGTGTCTCTGCCGTGAGTCGCGTTCCCTGCAGACACGAGCCAGGGAGCTGGAGAGGAGAACTCGCATCCGGCGACCGGAACACGCACGGCTCCCACTCCGGGGCGCGGCGCACCGCTCGCGGCGCGCACCCAGCAGGGACTCCCTCCCCGCAATAAAGAACGCACTCCGGATCACTCGGCCCCAGTACGGCCGCCGCAGTGCAGCGGGGTGTGCCGACAGCCGTCCCCGAGCCCACATGTGGTTGACAGCTGCCCCGAGAGCTGAGCCGGCGCGCACGCGCTGCGACAAGCGCGTGGTTAGCGCACCCGACGCATGCCCGATCGCGCGAGCGCTCCATTTAGGTCGCGACACTTCTGTAAGTGCCGGAAAGGGCCGTTGTTTTTCTGCCGCTCGTATTGATAAGGATGCTCCCGAAATCTACACCGCATATGTGCGCACTCCGATGAGGCAGAGACTGCAAAAAAAGTAGCGGGATCTGTGGAGGTGCGTGCGCGGAACTCTCTGACACCTGTTGGGCACTCCCACGACCAAATACGCCGGCGTGTTGCCGGATTGATAAAGAATACGAACGGTTGCGCTCTCTTTCTAACTCCAACTCGCCCTAATAAAAACAAATGCTTGCGGAAACGCGGAAAGAAATAAATAAAACGAAGCCGAACGGCAGCTGTGACAGCCGGTGAATCCCGATCGGCTCACCTCCTTTTTGACTGTCCTGAGCAACTTGTCCCTGGCGTCCAGCAGAGCAGCATTTGTTGCGTCGGCGGTCTCGCTTTTGCTGCGGAACACGGTCATGATCCGCGAGTCACTCCGGGAGACCGCGCTCGAAGCTAAGGCCATTGCGTCCACCGAGAAATGATGCGCTCCCGGGCTTTGCATATCTGGGAAGCCGTCGCGCTGCGTTGCGCCGCTTCACTGCCCATGCCGGGACGCGGAATCGTAAAACCATCATCCGCCTCACTGCATGGCACTAGTTGGCAAATCTTATCCCCTACGTTGCTCAAAGCTGTCCCCGCTTGGCCACAAATTTTTTGACTCATTGATAAAAGCGCCACTGTTGTTTTGTGTTGAATTTTATCTTTAATTAGCTGTTGCGATGACGCGCCGCTACGTAATAACGTGGTGGCGCTTTAATCAGTTGAAGACATTTTGGGTAAAATAGGAGGTTTGATTTTTGTGGGAGTTGGACGTCTGGGTTGGTCACGAAACGCGGGCCGCCACTATAAATTGACGAAATAGTTCTCAATACTCCCACAATTACTTCGCTTCAAATAGAAACCAAATGCCTACAGTTGTTTCTTTATTTGATACGCGTGTCGCACATTCACCATTACTTGAAATTTAGGCTTTTAAACGGATTTGGGAGTGAACAATATGCTGGCGGAGGGATACACTTTCCGGGGACGGCCGGAAAGGGGTGAGGAGCAGTGATGGGGGTGTGTTTGAAAATGGCCGCCCACCTGGCCAGTGGCCGGGTCAATGTTGCGCTGTTACGCGAAGCTGCTAGACGAGAATTGGTCGAATTGCTAGACAAATGCATCGGAACAAAGGTGCAGTTATGTAGCGGTGTTCGCGTTTTATCAGTACGAATTATTCTCCATTTCGGGAGAACCGTCAAAATGAATATGGCCTGCAATCGCCCCACTATCGCTGACTGGCGATATCCTGTGGCCGTGTTTTGACGCATGCAACTTTGAATAATCGATGCAATTTTTTTAATCGTCTCGTTGCTAGTTTGTTTGACGTGCAAAACAACAGTTATATGTGAATACAGAAGTGACATATGTTCAAACAGTTTAAACGATCCCCCGGAACGTTCTGCAGCGGCGATCTTGGGTTATGTGCTGACACGCTCCTTGTGTGTGTTGTGGCAGGCGATCGTGTGGGACGAGACCCTGGTCGGACCCTTCAGCCTCATCTCCGAGTTCGTGCTCCTCAAGGTGAGCGCCAGGCCTCGTGCGTCGCAGCTGATCATCTCGCGACCAGTGGAATCCCGATCCGCGACGACGCATTTTTGTTCCAATGCAGATCGCGAGTTGCGCGAGTGAATCCTAGTCACGCGCGAGCAGTTGCTCTCTGGATGCACGCGTTGTCTTTGCAGACAATTCGCCCGATTTGGTATGCGTATGTACAATCCCGTATGTCGACACTTCTGATTTTGCGTGTTTGGCTAAAAGGCCGTGCTGCAACCATAAACAGCAAACTTGATTGGTGCCCCCCGGTTGCTGTACGTGTGACACCTTTTGGTCCAGACACTTGCACCGACATGCACCTCCTTCCGTGTCTCGTAGACTTCCCAAGACCACAGTCAGTTTCTTTGTTAGCACTCCCTGCAGTTTCTTCGTTGGCACTCCCTGTGGTTTCTCTTTTGATGCCTTCTTCCTTGTGTTGACATCTGCCATGTATTGTCTAAGACTGATCATATGTTGCTTCTTGTGGATTGTCGAGGGTTAAATGAACAGGATCCAAACGATGTTGCAGGAGCACAACGTGACGCAGATGTTCCACTTGGCCGCCAAGCGACCCATCTCGACAACGGCGCAGAACATTGTGTACATGGTTCGTCCCAAGCTCCATCTCATGGATATCATTGCGGAACATGCTCTACAGTGAGTGCCCAGGCCAAGGAAAGGCTGCGTTCTTAGCCTTTGGAGGGAATGTGGATCTGCACTGGAGATGCTTAGCCAATGCGGGTTGTACATTGAAGCTCTACAGAGGCTTCAATGCACAACCAATGTACAAGCACAGACGATCTAATAATGGACCTGAGTAGGGTTTTTGCACCCCCTTTTATTTTAATGGGTGGTCCTATTGAAGAGAAGCCTGCAGCATCTTGGTGCGAAGTGTCGTCGACGCTTAGTTTAAGTAGTGCGCAGTTGAATAAGTGCCGACGCAGCGGCTTGTTGATCAAACTTGGTGGTAAATGTTTGCATCGCTGCCGCCCATTGCAGGGAGGAAAAGTCCAGGGGAGGCCCCAAGAAAGAATTCCACATCTTCTTTGTGCCCAGGAAGAGTCAACCCTGTATCCGAAAGCTACAGGTGGGGGCTCTGGGCCGCTGTGCATGACAGATGGAGTTGGGGCTCTGAAAGGGTCAAGTCACAAACCTCCCTGATTTGCTTCTCAAAATTTCTTCTCCTTGCTGCTGGCAGAACACACTCCCACCTTTACAACTGTCATATTTCTGAGCACATTTCTGCTTCTTCTAATGCATTCAACTAGTTTCAACTTTCTCTAGCCAAACTTTATTAGAATAATCAACCATTCTCTCTTGCCATCACCGTGGGTTCGAAAGAGTTGCAAAAAGTACTTTTAAAAAGTGGTTAAGGTTGTTTGATTCAAAATGTCATTAAAGTTGTAGGTGCAGTGTGATTCTCGCTAATATCTATCTGGTTACAATTTACAAAAATTAAGTAGTTACATTAGATTCCAAAAACTTTTAAAACATAAATGGGTGCCGAGGTGTGCTGCGATTGCCTATTTCGTTTTGATTCTCTGATCTTCATGGCAGAGTTTCTGTCAGTGACAGCACACATGTCCCGACTAGGCTAATATCTTAAGACATGCCCCACCCCCGAAAGATAATCCGCCCCCTATTTTCGGCACAATTCACTATTTTTTTTTCAAGAACATCGAAAGATAGCCCACTTCTAGTAAATGCAGGGCCCCGGCCAATGGTGACCTCGGCAGGAATAGTGTTACTGAGCCACGGCTGGAGATGAGCGAACATTGCTGACTGGAAAGGACAGTCGTCTTTGGTTTATCGCCCCTCCCTGCTATTACAAGTTGTGCAGGTCACAAAGTCTAAAACTAGCATTTTTCTCCACCTTTTTTCATCGCACACCAAAAGTTAGCCCACCCTTTATATTCACACAATTTGCTTTTTCAGAATATTGTGGTAATGTAATGTGAATTTTTGTGCCCGTGTATGTAAACTAGAGTCACTGATGGGATGAAAACAACAGGGAGGAGTTTCATTTGTGTTGCCTCTGGTGTGAGCTTCCTACCTTCAATAACACTTCAACGTCTTGTGAGCCTCAAACGTCCGTGCGCAGTCAAAGCACGACTAAAGTCAGCGAGCGCGGGCTGGAGGCTGGGGGTTCAAAACGGATGCCCTGCTGTTCTCATCTTGTCAGCGACTATAGCTGTAATGGAATTAAGTCTGAAGTAACTCCAAAATTGTAATTGTAAGTTGGTGATGATGTATTCCAAGTTTGCAAGTTGCAAATATTTACACCGTAATTACATGATTGTAGGCCGACTTGTCCATTTTTTAGATTCGGATACCCAAACTCGAAGCCAAACTGTGCCGCCCTGACAAAGCCGAAGCAATGCGAGACCTTTCTATTCGCAATCCCAGATCCGGACTTTTTCTTGTGTCTTGCCGACAAGTGATCGCGGGGGGGGGGGAGTTGACTTTTAGGTGAGCCGACTTGCAATCACGCTAATACAGTGATTGCTGAGTCTATAACTAGATACGGTTACTTCAGTATTTCTACATTGTAACAGTACTGATCGGCACAGTTCAGAGGCATATTTCTCGTTATTAATGTTTGTTGCATCTTCCCTGGACAGGTTATGGAGTTGTTTTTTAATACCTTTTATGTTTTCCATAGACGTCCGATTTTTGCAGTTTCTTTCAACCAAGAAAACTATTAAATTACTGTTTCTTTATGTAGTAATACTCTTGACAGACACTCAGGGTTCAATAATTTATTAAACAATCTAGATTCCTTGTGGTGCAGAAGGGGACAAAAAGCGTCCTTGTTTGTCAGGTTCTCTGACAAGGGACTAGCGGGATGTCTGTTTGGTTGCAGCAACACGGCGTCTACGGAGACATCCACATAGAGGAGTACGCTCTGGAGCTGTTCCCCGTCGATAGTGACGTGCTTTCAATGGAGATGGAGTACTCCTTCAGGGTAAGCTCCTCCTCCCTTTTTTTCCTCCCTCTCCCCTTTCTTTTTCCCCTCTTTCTTTACTGAAAAAAAAAAGAAAAGGATAACACTGTTTACAAGGTTAAAAAAAGATTAAGCTCAATGCAATAGGCATGCAGAGTAAAGGTTGTGTTTGTCCATGTGCAAGCTTTTTCTTCTTCTACCCCAGCAGTCCTCTCACCGTCATGCTTCTCACATTTTTTTGTTACCTAGGTTTCTTATTTTCCGCATTTATTAGCATATCATAGTATTAGATGCCATAAAGTTTTGTTTATGCCGCAAAGAAAAACAGATTCATATTTATTGGTAGCCCATTTTCCATTTTACCCTTAAAAATAGGCGGAAAAATTGGGTACCAATTTATGCTACTGTCGAGACCGATTATAACGAAGTCAGCGGGAATCGGAAATCATTTCGCTATATCCGCTATTTTGTTATAACCGACTTTGGTTAACGAAGTGCAAAAGAAAATGGGAAATCGTGATTGCTTCGTTATACCCCCTGTTTCATTATAGCCGACTTCATTATAACCGGTCTCGACAGTATATACTATATTTTTTTTGTGTCGAAAAGTGAGTTAAGAAAGCCTTGGGAAGAATCAAACGGTGCGTAATAGTCAAAGAAAGTGCAGTACTATGGCAAATTGTTAATGCACTTACCTTTGGTTCATTGTAAGTCTCGTTCAGACACTGGCAAAGTGTTTATGCTTGCCAGGCTTTTTACTGAGACAATTTACGAGGATCCAACTAGCTAGAAAAAATGTTTACGGCTCTGCACCTGGCATTTTCGTGTGGGAAAATCACCAATCTAGAACCGGGTATTCAGCAACTCTCCTTCTTTTTTCCATGCCCAAGTGCATTGACGACAACGTGCACAAAATATTTCCAAAGTTGCGGGCCATTTGAGTCACACATTCATTATTGAAAATTGCAGAGTTTGGGAAACACAAATTTTATAACCACTGGAACACCGGAATCACATTGATTCAGAAAAAACCTTGAGTGCTCAGCTGCGCAGAAAGTTGCTCCCCACCACCCCCGTACACCCTGGTGCTCTATGTGCCCCACATCAGTCCTCTGGCCTCGTTTTGACTTTGTTTGTTTTTCTTGGCAGGTACCACATTTACTCGAGTGATATGTGCGCTACTTACAAACAAGGCGCTTTCATCTAATTTCCTGCAGAGCTTTTGTACAGCCAGTCGTCACGTTCCAATTGAAAAATGCAGCAAATGATGAGGTCGAGAACACAATTCTTAGTAAGAATGCGATCTGTGCAGATAGCATTTCCGCACGAAGATGCTATCTCCGTCCTGTAAATCGCTGGCATCTTCCCGTTAATTGCTTTAATCGGCTATTTGCATGTTTTGAAGGAAAGTGGACCTGCAGGCTTTGTTGATATACAGGGCAGTTATTACTCATTAAATACTGTAGAATACAGCGCTGCGGCAAAACAAACAACAACTTCGTTCTGTGTCTACTGTGTGATGAAAGCTGTTCCTCTCGTTCATCACAGGAGTGTGAGGTGGAGGGCGACACGACTTCGATGCATCACGTGGCTCGTGCCCTGATGACGCTGCAGACCCTCTATGGAGTCATTCCCAACGTGTACGGCAAGGGCAAGCACGCACAGGTAAACGGATGTAGACAACAGGCCTCGGTTCCAGCAGACCCTTATTGGGCTATGCAATACTGAAAGTGCTCTTGCCGCATCTTCATGTAGGAATGTCAACGGTCTTTTCGCATGCTTTTAAAAGAGAAAATTAGAGATTTTTCACTTTCTGCATCTCTGTATACGTGGCTTCCAGATAATTACATCAGCTCTCATTATGGTGGCCTCGCCGCCGAGTGCATACTTTCGGCAGCACCTATTTCGCCCTTCCAAACTTGTTTTTCTCAGCAAAAATGGAAGAACAAGTAGGGGTGACCACTAGCATTCTTTTCGCCGCATGCTCGCGTTGTAGTGGCAGCTGACAGCTTCGAGCCCGCCTTTTTCTCAATTTCTCGTCGGGTTTTGATTACTCCAGTGCGCAAAAGGTGTAAATTTAATGGATACGGTCACTTCTTAGGCGACTTTTTGTGTCTGTTTACCATTCTGGAGCTTGGCTCGTACCTCGACAGTCAAGTGTGCCCACAGTCGGCTGCTCCGCGAGCAGGGTGCGACCACTCCCGCGGTGCCCCTTGTCCGCCCTTGCAGATGGTGTCCGAGATGATGGTGCGCATGCGGCGTGAACTCTCGGGCCGGGAACCCCAGCTGGTGCCCCAGATTGAGAACCTGCTGCTCCTTGACCGGGCAGTGGACCTCCTCACCCCTCTTGCCACGCAGCTCACCTACCAGGGACTGCTCGACGAGATCTTTGGGGTGCACCACAGTAGGCTCCTTTGATTCACCCGCACCACCTGCACCAGCTGCACTTACAGCACACCACCATATCCGAGATACGAGTGCAGCCTATCTTTAAAGCACAGACCAGAATTACTACACGGATTTGAGCAGACATATTGACCCAGCCCCGTGACACATTGTCCCGTTTTGCGAAGGCCATATTCATGTCACTCTCGACTCGCGAAGGAATTTGGCTCAGTTAGTGACTGAGCCAAGTTCACTGTACTTTAGAGGTTCGGGGATGGACAGAAAAAACAAAACAAGCTGTGCTTTTACGCCATGGAACATGTATGTTCTTTGCAACGCGGTTATCGCAGATGGGAAATTGGTGATTTTAGCACATTTTTGATTAATTTTTGATGTGCTCCACTACTATTTACTGCCAAGTAGCAGCTGTGCAAATATTTTACTACACAGGAACTGCAATGGGAACCTCCTGGATGTCTTCGAGCAGCAGCCGACTTTTTGCTTAGAGGCAGCTTCTTTGGGCCTAGTCTTTAGTTTAGGACTATGGTTACTGTGCGACACATTCAGTGCGAGCTCGACATCAGTGCCGTTTTAGGGTATTGCTCATAAATGGTAATGACGAATACCAGATTCTTCCGGCTATTTTAGTTTCCACCATAAACATATTCAACCATACAGTTAATTTTCATGAGAGCATTTTGGATTTGAGAGAAAAATGAGAAGCTGCCAAGGGCGTCTTCATGTTAATAATGTAGCGCTCTGTATAGTTTTGCCATTGCTCACAAAATTAGCCTCAGCTCAGCTGACCAGAAATTTAAAAGTTTGAATAGGTTGAATTGTTATGCACACACAAGAGAAAGGAACAGACCCATTACTATATTCTATCTGATGTTAAAACAGGCTGCAGTGGACGCTGCGAGTCATCTGAGCTAATCCAATGCTGGGAGAAAGGTTCGTGACTTAACGCATTGCGCATTGCAGCACTCATCTGGTAGGCCACATGACTTGCTCTCGGTTCTCGATTGGCTCCGGTGGCTGGTAGCGTTCGCCGCGGGCCGTCTAAAAGTGGAACGGGGTGCAGGGTTTAGCTTGGCAGTCGTGTTTGGAGTGGAACCTCATGGGGTTCCACTCCAAACACAGTGGTGATGGGGCGCCTTCCTTCTCCCCCCCAGACATTGTGAAGGTTCCCCCGGAGAAGTTCCAAGGCGAGGGAGAGTCTAAGCAGTTCTGCCTCAACTCGGCCGAGGAGCTCTTTGCAGAGCTCAGGGACCGCAACTTCAACGCCGTGGGCCCCGTGCTCAGCAGGGAAGCCAAGAGCCTCTCCTCTCAGTACGATGTTAGTATTGCGGGAACATAGCCTCGGAATACCTAGGGTTCTGCTGGTATGGCAGAAGCAGCTCGGAGAGCTTTTTTAGGGCTTGTTCGCGGTGCGTGTGTGAGCTTATGTGGCCTTCTAAAGTCATGAGGATGCTTCACCCTATAGGCTCCTTTTCCAATATGAGAAATGTGACTGTTCACATGCATAGTTCTCTCCAAATAAAGCCAAAGGTCATCTTAAGCTCTAAGTTTTTAAAAGTGACTGTTTTCTATGTATACAGGATTTTTTTTCAAAGTGCATGAAAATGCATAAAAATTATATGTCTCTACAAAAGTACTAGCATTTCAAATGGTAGCATGCTCGCATTTCAAATTCTTCATACTTTTATGAACCGGTATAATTTTTGTGCATTTCCATGGGCTGCAATAGAAGCTGTCATTGATAAACAATAAAAAATCATGGATATTTTAAGTTCCACTCAGCAAATCATTTTAAGAACCTGCGAAGGATTCCATCTGGCTCAATTTTTTTTTTAGTAATGATATTGAGTAAGAAGTTAAAGACTTCATGCTCATATATTTCTATACCTTTGGTGGGAGTTATTATCTAATAAATTACTGAACCTCGGCCAAGTCCTTTTATTTCGTGTAAGATAGATTAAAAGAAAAGAATTGGAAGTTTTAGCATGCTGTTGGTTATTATCTTTATCACTAGCGCTTTGTGATTTAGCTGAGGGGTCAGAATACCAACAAAGCTTACTGCATGCCTCACTAAAAAAATTTTGAGTGTTATATTATACTATATGCTTCAATTCCTGACTCATATAATAAATGCATATTTTCTTTTCAGTAGTATTCAAATCCTGCATAAAAGCTTTTCGTTTAGGCTTTTTTTTATGGACTAGTCTTTTTTATAGTAATCCGAGAACTTCTGTTTCTAATTTTTTAGTGCCTTTTGAAATAAACTGCCAAAGGTGCGAAGTCCCATGGCCTGTCTGTGCTAACATTTGATTGATAAAAGAAGATAAAATTATCAAATGAGTGCTTGAGGCAACCCAGCATACCTTCAAAAGAGAGGCACCAGCAGTTCAACAAAGGAGTGTCTATTTCTGACATTTTACGCCACTCTACTTTAGCTTTCTTCTGTGCTCCATCGTCTACTCGTTAACCTGACACATATTTTAAGGGTTAGAATTGTACCCCCACCGGACTTGATTCCGACAAATGACACTTTGGACTTATACTAAAATGAGTGTCGCCAAAGTGTGCCGGATAGTGTTTATGCTCAACTCCAAAGCCTGTATACCCTGGACATAACAAAACTGAGTGCTGCAGATAAAACAATTGATGTGGAACTTCCAGGAGTTCCTCCAGTGGATAGACTGCTGTAGCAGCTGGGCAGGTGCCAAAAGCACCTACCGTGAAATCTCGTAAGAATGCCCACCCAAAAATAAGGAGATAGATGATTGATAATAATGGTGGGGGGGGGGGAAGGAAGGAAGGGAAGGAAGGAAGGAAGGGGGAAGGAGGGAAGGAAGGAAGGGGGAAGGGGAACTTTTAGAGATCGAACAACAAAAGTTAAAAAATTTAGTTATTAACACCCGACCACCCACTACAAGCCACGTGAAACGGGAACTGATTCTGCAGATCACGAAGATGGCAAACTCGTGTTCCCTGATGTGATAAACACCCGTGGCTCAGAAACGCAAACCTTAGATTCCTGACTTGGCAGATTTGCGCTTCACAGTGCAATAAACACGCGAGAACCCGCTACAAACTAGCGTATCACAACAACTGACATCGCACGCGGAGATCATAGACAAAAATGTGGGAGCCTACTAAAACTCTCACGTCACAGGCACGTATACCGCAGATTGCGGAAGCCGTGGATTTGCATGTCACGATGCGATAAACACACGGGAGCCTACTACAAACTCGCACGTCACACATACCGGTACCACAGATCGCGCAGTTGATCTGGCTCCCATCGGACATTGCGCGATATCCGACGGGAATCTGCGGATGGGCGACATTTCGGAATTTTTATGTTGTAGATAGTCAGCCAAAATATGGCATGGGCCATCTCTCGGGGGAGGGCTTTGGTATGGGATTTTACGGTAGTTTGGGCCAACACCTCCCAAATAATGAAGCACAGATTGGACATGAGAGCTGCATCAGTGTTCAGCTGGAACTTGCGTCCTCGCTGATTGAACACGAGTCACATGTGTTCACAGATTGAGCACGCAGCACTCGTGTTCAGTCTGAGCCCTATGCGGCCCTCCGATAGGCAACTTGGAAGATTCAGCACTACGGCTTGGTTATCTGGAGGTGTTTCGGAACTCTTCCTTCCCCTCCTTCTGTTGAGACGAGCTTGGCGTGGGCATGTCTTGCAGGCGCGGCACGAGGCCCAGACCATCCCGGAGATCAAGCAGTTTGTGGACCGGCTGCCCTCGATGCAGCTCAAGAAGAAGTCCCTGGCCAACCGTGCGTGTGCCCAGCCTTTCTGATCTACAGACCCTCTGAGTTGTTGGGTCTAGGATGACCCAACAACCAAGAGTACCAAAACTCCCAACTTTCCTTTCGGAACCATGTCGTGGCACCAAAATACCTAGATGACTTTGAGACGTAGGCCTTATGCCGTCAAATTGAACGGCGGGTGGCCAACACTGGCAGAGCCTGCTTGCACAAGCGGGCTAACGGGCCGAATTTCTTCTTTTGTGGACTAGATTTTGAACTGCTTCATCTCCAAAGTCATAGCTACAACCTGCAAACCTCACCGGCTGCTCGAGGCTCCTGCATAAAGGTCTCACCTAAGCTTTCTTTTATCTCAATCTTTCAGCATCAAAATGGCTAATGCACTCAATCGAAAAGCTAGATCAACTTGATTTTTTAGTTCCAGCGCGTGCTGGGAAATGCTGTACTCTTGGAACATTCACATGTTCAATGTAGAGAAACAATGTAAAAATGGTGAAAGAGATAACTAGCGGGGTACAAAAGCAGACGACATGGCTCTGTTGTCTGTTTGTCCCTAGTAGGTATCTTTCACTCATATATATTTATTTCATTAATATACTCAACCTTCCAAACGAGTAAAAGTTGTTTCATGTCTGGATGTTGAACTGTGCAGTCACCTCATGCTCCTTTCTCAAAGAGAGAAATTCGAAGAGGACAAACTGGGGACATATTTTGAATGTGTTAGAACATTCTGCATCAAAATCCAGCGAACTGTTCTGCCTCTGGAAACCCTGCTTCACCTTCAGGTAGAAAGTGTTGCTTTGTTTATATGTGGTAATATTATGATCAGAAACACAATCCTAATTTGCTGTCAATATTGGACCGATAGGAACAACTTTGATCAGGAATTTATTGAGACAGTGGATAGAGGTGGTATTTATTTTAATTGTAGCGTCTTCAATAAAAATTGTGTCCACAGCACAATGTGTACGCTCTCTGGTCGTTTTGTTCCCTCGCAGACACGTCCATGGCTGAGCTGATCAAGGAGGTCACAGACCGAGAGTCCTTCTTTGAAGCGCTGGGCATCGAACAAGGTCACTTGACACCACACAAGAATGACCAACATACTCTCTCAGCTGCCAGAGCCGATATATCGATTTATTTTCAAATATATCTTATCGGTGGTTATCATTGAGTTGTGGCAGTGATGAATAGATGGACATAAAAAAATAATAGACAGAAAACTGTAAAAAAAATACAACTTTTTTATGGTCATTTGCTTAGCATGACTTGCGAGACGGACTACCAGCGTAGCATAACGCCGCGGCCGACGGTGCCGGCTTGCCCAATCGGCAGAATGCTTGGCATAAAATACTGTCTATTTTTTATCCGTTCATTTTATTTGTGAAAGTACTATATTGGTAATTTTCCTAGCTTGTTATCGCAGTGGCACTTGGGATGTAATAAATCTTCGTAAACCGCACGAGAAAAGCTTAAACGTTATGCGGCCGAGAAAGCGACGAAGAAGAAGCGCCCGAATGAGTGTTGGCCATGCATCCGTCTCCCTGTACCCAGAGTTCATGAACGGCCTGGACACTGACAAGGTGCACCCCCGCATCGAGGACCTGATAGCCCGAGAAGAGGACATGCTCAGGGTGAGTTGGCTGGGAGGTGGACAGTGCACGCAGCATCAATAGAGGCGGTGACCAATGACCACCGGGGGGCGAATGACTTATTGTGGAGACATTCCAGAGCAAACTAATTGTATGTTTAAAAGACGAATGTGTCGGCGCACCATCTTTATTGGATATCGAAGAAGGGGATTGGACATCTAGCAAGAAAGGATTATTGATGCCGGCGAGGCAAGTTTTTATGAATCGTGCAGTGTTGTATTTTTCGTGTCAGAACTGATGTCTCTGGTATTTTTACTGCTATGTGCCCTGTCAGTTAACTTCTGTTGGAAGTCGGTGCTGTGCTGTGTTCTTTCTGTCAATGTTCGTCTTTTGCACCATACGTCGTTGAACCCAAATTTTGCCCAGCTGTTACTCCCCCCCCCCCCCCCCCCTTCATTTCATTCTTAAATTTAATAGCACTGCCTTTCTAGTTCAAGCAGTCCAGAACTTTGCAGCTCTTTAACTGTACATACATTTGTGTGCAGGTACTCAGACTGGTGTGCATGCAGAGTGTAGCCAACAATGGACTCAAGCAAAAGGTGTTGGACCACTACAAGCGAGAGATTCTTCAGGTGGGCAACCTGGGAATGTGTTCATTTATTGGTTTATTTGTTTGCACATTCTGGTAGTAGCATGTTTTTGGGTACGCTTGCTTGCACCTCCAGCTGTTCACACAAATATACACTGCTCCATCCGATTTGTGAATGAAGCCCATCTTGATACAGATAGTGGAGGCATGCACTTCCCAGCACCGCAGCTACACTTTCTGCACCGTTATGTACCCTACTGAGTAGATCGAATGTGCTAATTACTGTAAAATGTCCCTATAGAAAGTATTCACTGGCGGCCATAGCTGTGTGTGCAAATGCTGAGCGCGTGCAAATGACAAGCCTCCACAGTTCTTTTGCAACGTGCATTCCGCACCATCAAGATTGGCGGTCTCGGCAGCCTATTAATGTGAGCTCCTTCTGAGCATGCGCTCTAAACAGCACCCTCAAATATGGCGTCCAGTGAATGCCCCCTATAGTAAAGACTGATGAAATTAATATGTGGGTGTATTAAAGCTGAAGTGTTCTAATACTGGCACAGACATTTAAGGTAGCAATGTACTCCACATCGTTATATAACAAAAAGTTTTTTGAAGAAAAAAAAAAAAAAGAGTTTAAATTAATTTAGTTAAGATATACTGTTGTCCCTGTCATTGGAGACCTTACGAAAGCGGGGCACAAAGGACATTGTATTGGAACTACTGTTCTGCAAATATTCAAATTTTTTAATAGTAGTTTTGAATAATTCTATATTCGCTTTGAGGTGAACTGCAATATTGAGTGTGCTTCTTACCGAGTACCGGTGCACTGCAGAGAAGCAATACGTGCAGAGCTCTCTTCTGCGATGTTGCTTCTCCCTTGTACGCCAGTGCTCAGTAAGAAGCCCACTCAACAGGGCTATCCCATCATTATCAATATTACGATAAGTACAAATATCGTAGCCGCTTGCTTAGGAGGAAAGCACACTTTCAAAGCAAGCACGTGCACTATCCCGCTTTAAATTTTAACCGAAAAACACTGATAAACCTCCACCGGTGTCAAACATATGAAACTGGTTAAAACCGAAAAACACATTTTTTTTATATTTTCGAGCAAGCGTTGTTGTTTTTTTTGTGACAAAAATATCCTGAATACTTACCAGTTTTAACCAAAAAACACAGATAAACATCTGCCAATGACGAAAATAAAAATCTTAAAAAAAAAAAAAAAACGGTTTCTAAATGTTTTTTTTTATTTGTTCTTTTCACTGAAAAAAGTTTTACACAAACTTCTGTCAAACATATTATCTTACCTAGAATCAGGCAATTTGCCTGTCTTTCTTTTGTGACCTACGTGGTCTTGAACTCTTGGGGCCCTAAACTCCTCAAACACAAAGTTGGGACCAAAGTTCGTGAAGCGTGGCAATGACGCAGTGCTTTTGTCGGCCAGGTCCAGTTGGCGGCTTCGCGAACTTTCGGCTTCAACTTCATGTTGGACGAGTTTAGAGCACTTGGAGGACAGTAGCTTTGCTCCATTGTCCTCCAAGGTCAGCGGTTCTCCCTAAGCCACGGACCTTGGAAGATACCTAATTAGTGGCCCTGGTGGCCAGTCACAGCTGGCCAGTACTGTCCCAAGCCACGTTGGACGTTTTGGGGTTTCCCGTGTCCAGCGCAAATGTTGAGTGGGCATTCTCAAAATCGCACGTCGTCAACAGGAAGGAGTGACAGACACGAGCCTAGGAATGTATGCAAGCATATACTACAATAATCAAGTGCGAAAGGGATTGTGTAAACAATGTAAATAAAATTTGGACTGTTTTTCGTCCTCAGCGGTCATTTATATTCACAATTTTTCCCTCGAAAATCGCCCTTTTTACTGTCTGCACGAGAGAATTCATTGAAAAGCACCGGTATTCTAGAAACAAATAAACACCGATAAACGTGTGCCGATTTTTATCATAAATAAACACCGGAATGTATACACTCCAGGTATATGTTAGGCAGAGATTCCCTGACAACCTGCATTAGTAATTATTTGTGACTGGAGAAAATCTATCTGTATGTAGCAAGCATACTTATAAATCACCTCAATTAGGTATAGCTGGGCATCTCATAGGACTAATTTTATGTCAAATGCATTGTCTACTTGCCAACCAATATAGGTACTGAATTTTCTGAGGCCACTGTCGATAAATATAACTAGATTAAAATTAATTTAGCTTAGAAATGAACAAGTAAAAGCTTGGGAACAACCTTTGCGAGTTCAGCTAAGCTTTTCTGTAAGCATGGTGCAGTGGTGAAACGCTTAGAGAAACTATTCAATATTCAATAAGAAAATATTTGGCCAAAACCACTATTTGCTTTGAATTTGCTTCAAACACAAAATTCACCATTTTTACATGACTAATTGGAACACAACTCATCATCAAACGCCTTAAAGGGGTATGGAAACGAGATGACGTGAGTGCAAGCTCTCTAGCCCTTGCTTCAAAGTCGGCCAGCGAGAAGTGCAATGCATATCGCGCTCGTGATGTGAAACGTTCATGCACAGTCAAGGATACTGTTGTTGCGAGCCTTGCCTCTTGGTGGCAGCAATGCGTGACGATCTTGCCTCGTGGTAGTATTTGAGGACTGTACACTCATGGCCTATACATATAGCTGGCCCATAACATCATTTGAGGCCATGTCAGTATTTTATGCGCCACAGACATTTGGTTCACAGTGTTAGTTTCACACTACTGAAGTAGTAACTCGAAGGAACCAGTAAGTAGAAATAACCATCAATACCCAGCAATAGTGACACCCGCAAGCTATGTATACCTATAAGGTATTCACTGGGTGCCAAATTTGAGCACACTATACACACCGCATCTGGGGGGGAGTGGAGTGGTATGTTTGGCTTGGCAGAGGTCCTCGCATCCTCAGATCAAGCTCCTACCTAACGTCTGCGAAGTATGGCGATCTTGATGGCATGGTATGCATGTTGCGGAAGTGCTGTGGAAGATTTAACTTATACAGCGTAGTAGACGTGTTTGCATTCTCCACCGAGTCACATTCAATACTAAGTAACTCCACGAGCGAGCTATACTGCCGTGAACTGGCGCTGCTTCTTAAAAACTCATGACGTGGTGACATTTCAATGGAGCTTCACAGACCACCACCAGGCAGATTTTTGAAATCTGTAAATTTGTTTTAAAATAAGTTTTCTTGACTTCTCTGCCGGCAGCCCAGAGACACTAGTCTAGGCTAGCGTTTCTGGGCTGCCGGCACAACATAGACCTCATCTAAACAAAGAAATAAGTGCAAACATTTTGTTTCTGTACACTTATAACCATGAGTGGAGATTTGGGGACAAAAATATTTGTCTGCCTGCACGATGCCGGTACATGATATTTATTGATCCATGCCGGGACTAAGATACCCGTGTTTTATTCTGATCACAGTGGAGATTTCTTATCAGAACTAACTATAGATCAGAAACAAAAAAAAGATGTGTGTGGTGGTAGATGGAAGTTGTCGTCAGGTTATTTAAACTCAAATCATCAACCCTACTATCTGTGGTGTCGTCGGCATTCCTTGGTTAGTGCATCTGCTACAATTACATGTTATTGTGCAGCTCATGCTCTTCCACTGTTTTCTCTTATTAATGCAATATCCACTAGCTGCTTTAAAGTGGTACCATTAAAATGAAGTTCAATCTAGTTTTATAGTTGCATTCTCATGCTTGCGCGCACCGTTTCAGACCTATGGCTACCAGCACCTGCTGAGCCTAGAGCGGTTGGAGCGGGCAGGATTGCTGACGACACACGAACAACGAGTTTACTCCGTGGTACGCAAGACACTTAAGCTCAACGTAGAAGACATCAACGAGCAGGTACTGCCATTTCTCTTGAGGCATCAAACTCAGTCCTGGGGAACGAGAGCTAAAGAGGGCTGTGGTCGCTTTGCTCTGCCTTCTTTCATCGAGTCTTACAAGGTCCGATGGCATTTTTTTAGAAGGTGAAAAAGTTGAGCATAGATACGGAACGGTTAAGAGCAGGTTTGGAATTTGTGTTTCCAAACATGCAGTTTGAGCGATGTCTCACGTTAACATAAACACCTCCATTTTCTCCAAAAAGCATCCACAGCATGAGTTGTCCATAATAACTAGAGGCCCTAGCTTTCTGCAATTCCGCGATTCTGCGAAAAATCGCAGAATTAAAGATTTTTCGCAGAAATGTGGAAAAAACGTTAAAAACGTTGCTTTTGGAAGCTATGGAGAAACGCTGCTTCCTGGTAACTTCCGAAAGGTGGCGCTAAGCATCCTCAGAACGAAAAATTGAGTGAAAGGTGGCAAAAGGTGACGGAAAAGTAGTATTTTCTTTTTAGTTAATGGCAAAAGGGTTTCTGTGGCCTCGTCATCTTTTATTGTTGAAGAAATTTAATTTTATATTCAAATATTGTAACCTTATCAATTAAAAAAATGGCTAGGTGGTGCAGCCGCCACCAATCAATGGTCTCAGCCGTAGTGAAGAGAGTACAAAGCATCACCTGATGCTCGGCCACAACAGCTTCCTTCAGTTTTAAATTAATGCAAGCATGTTTAGAGCCTGAAATCGTTTCATAAATAAACTGTTACATGTACCTTATGTCTGTTTAATGTTGCCGCAGAATTGTGCAGATTCCTCTGTCTGAATTTGCAGAATTTCAACTTTTCCACCGCATAAAGTTTGGGGCTTTAATGATAACGAAACAAAAATGCACGCATTTACCCAGTTTGTCTCCGAATATTGTCTATGTAGAAGGGTATCTACATTAACAGTGTCTGTATTAACGAGACACGACCGTACTAGCTCACAAGTGTGAGGCAATTTCCTCTTTCTTTCGGCTGTTCTGTACTTCTACACCACGCAAGAGAGCTGGCTTTACTCTGCGGACAGTCCACTCAGAGATCAAAATCGTGGACTCTTGTTGGAGATTCTCTGTTGACACGCTAGAGGTAGCAACGGCTTCGGGGCTCTCCGAGTGACCGAGACCCACCCGGAACGTGCAGGCCCCCAACGACGTGTCATACGTGTACAGTGGCTATGCGCCGCTGAGCGTGCGCCTTGCCCAGTTCCTGGCCCAGCCCGGCTGGAGGGCCATCCAGGACGTGCTCAACAAGCTGCCCGGTCCCACCGTCTGCGAGCTGCAGCAGCGGCCGCCCGGCATGCGGCCACGGCGTGAGCATCCCCGCTGGGCATTTCCTTTATGGTTACCACGGTCGCCGATGGGATGAAAACGGCAGGGAGGAGTCTTAGTGGTCCCGCCTTCACCGCGAGCTGCCTACCTTCGATGACACTTTGGCGTCTCGTGAGCTCGGAGTGCACTTAGCAGCCAAGGCTCGACACGAGGCAACGAGCTCGTGCTAAAGGCCGTAAGAGATGCTCTGCCGTTTGCGTGCCATCGGTGTTAATGGATAGGTTTTTTTTTGGGGGGTGGTGCTCTGTTATCTTAGGGATATTTGCCGGCAAAGTTTGTTTTTGGCCACTCTACTCCGAGCAAGCCGATCCCATTTTGCGGTGAGATGTTGTTTTATAAGACCACTTTCTCGTACACCGACATTCTCTGACGCCTGCGATCAGTTGCTGCGTCCAAGCACCGATGATCCTTTGTTGGTCTCTAAAAACAGAATTTGCAAATAACTTTGTTTTTTTCTTTTACGTTTAAAAAAAAAAATTATGCTTTCTCAAATGAAGAAGAGTTGGGAAAATAAGCTCGCGGGGTTCACACTTAATAGCGCCACTTGCGGCGTTGAATTTTGGCGGCGGTGCTGGCATTGAAAGATGAAAACTGTATAAGGGTTGATAATTGGGCTAGTTGGTATTTAAACATTGAAGCGATATTAGCGCACTCGTTGAGAGAAGATAGTAGTGAGTAGCGCTCTTTCCTGTATCTTCTATCTTCTCTCTACGTGTGTGCTAACACCGTTTAGAAGCATTGAAAGATCATTTTCGAAACAAAAAAAAAGAAAGGAATGGAAGATGATTTTTAAAATGTTTTTAGCTCCATGCAGATAAGGAGAGTTGAGCAGTTGAATGTATGTTCAGATCCAAAGTCAATGGCATTAACGAGAAATGCTTTCGGTGTGGTGATGCGTCACCATGATCTAGGTCTGGCTATTCAGGGTGGGGCAGAATTTCTAGGCCCCAGTGTGGTGACTGCACTACCAGCCACAACAAGAACATAAAAGGATTGTCGGAAAAAGCCAAAAGAGTGCAATGCTGTGTAAACTTATTCGTGACTAGTTTTGTCGCTTGCTGTTGGCATTTTTTTTTTATTTTCTCCGACTGTAGAGACATATCTCCAGCAGTGCAAAATCAGAACTGAGGGGTAGTGCTTAGAAGGCCACCGTCTGCTCGGCTAAACGTTGGCACGAATGTCGGGTGTAGTGATGAGTCGGGAAGGGAGGGGCATTGTGACCGACCGCGGGGAGCGAGAACCTTCTCGTTGGAGTGGCCGGAGGAACGTGATCCAAGCAACCGGCATCCTCGCAGGGGGCTCGGTGTCGTCTCTTCAGTCCGGTGCTGATGAGCCGAAAGTGACGCTGGTCTTCTTCCTGGGGGGCTGCACCTACGCCGAGATCTCGGCCCTACGCTTCCTCTCGCAGCAGGACGACGGTGAGTTTGGGGCCCACCCTCTGCCTCCTGGCCCCCGTGTGGGTTGGGGTGCTTGTCTAACCACTGCCGAGTCGGACACATTTGTAGCCTGGACACTTTCCTAAGTAATTATGTTGTGTGTATATCAGCGGGAAGGTAGCCAGCCCCAGTGGGCACTTGGTGTCTCTGCTGTAGATGCAAAATTTAGCCATTGCGGTACAACTGCTACAGCATAGTTTGGGTCTGGATGAGCATGAACAGCACACCGGTACAATGCCCATCCAGATCGTAACGGGCAGGGGTAGGGATCGAGCCCAGACACCCGAGTTCTGCAGGGCAAGCTTTCTCTCCACGTGCTCTGGGCAACATTGCGCTAACACATTCAGCCACTCATCCTCATCCCCGAGTTGGGCAGTCCAGGCCTGTAACATGGCTGTGTGAGCTGGGGTACTACCTTCCTTTCCCATAATGTGCTGCAAACACTTTGCTCCCCTCCTCACCCTCTCCCCTCCCTATACCCATCTGTCTTTAGCAACATGGGCTTTTGGTGCTTGCTTGACTTTTCAATTTGCTGCAGCAGTGGGTTCCAATTCCCAGCCAGTTTAATATTACTTTTTGCTGTATGTCGAAGAAAAGCTTTGGCTCCAACCATTTCCCTTGGACGTCGGTATGGCTATCATGGTAGTCTGCCGAAGACCGCTTTCATACTGCTTTTAGACTTAGGTGAAGTGGTACAGGAAGAAATACTGGTTTCTGGTATCTTTCGAAACATGCTGATACATTTTGTGATAAGCTGTTGTCAAATAAAGTTGCTTCTGTCCCTTCAGTCTAGCTTCTTAGAGCTCGGAAACTAAAGTGAATGGGAAGTATCTATACGAGGCAGGGGCCAACTTTTCAGCAACTTACCTATGTCAGAAAATGGCCGTGTCTTGTTTTGCTCCATCCGCTTCGTGTTATATTGTATATTTACCTTGACCAAATTAAAGGTCCACTGAAAAGAAAAACATTTTTTTTTAAACAGTCTGGCTGGGACACGTGTGTCAAAAAATAAATGTTTAGCAAAAAAAATGTTTAGAGCAATATTGACGGCACGAGGCTTGATTTATTCCGTAGTCCCCTCCTTTCCACCTGTTTTTTCTCTTGGCGTTTTGGGTGCATGAAGGAGGTGGATTGGCTTGGCCATCACACTGAGGTGGAGAGTATGTAGGACGATCTCGTTGTGCTGGAAAGAGTGTATGATCGTTCCGTGACATTGTGGACTTTGCGCGCAGAATTTGAAATAAATCTCGTGCCGTCAATATTTCTCTAAAAAAAAAAAAATTTTTTTTCCATAAGTTTTATTTTTTGACACGCCTGTCTTAATTAGACTGTAAAAAAAAAAATTCTTTTTTTTTTTTTTTCAATGGCTTTTTAAACTAATCAACTCGCTCACCTTCTTGATAAGGCAGCTTCCTTTTGAATTGTCTCTACTGGCTTTTGATACCCTTGTGCTTTGTTTGGCTCATCCAGGTACTGTAAAAAAAACTTGACATTTATTTTGTCAGACATATATAACTGTCGAAATTAAAAACACCGGCTAGGTGGTGACACAGGTCGTCACCAAATTCCATGAGTCCAGCTCTGTTTTTTTATTCATCCGAACCACCGTGTGGGCATGCCACGGCACGTTTTGACTGCACTCTGTCTTTCTCTCTGAACAAGTGAAGCAGTCGAGATCGTTACTGGAAAAAGAAACATTATATTTGAGCAGATTGATATTTCTTTGCAGTTCGAACTTGAGATTGAGAAATTAAAAAAAGCAGATAACATAACACAAAGTCAGGGAGGGAACATACGTTTTTATTTAATGTTAACACAGCTCGAAGCGGCATATTTGGTCAGCTGGTTTTTCTTCTATGTTTCTGTAAGCAAACTGGTGGCCCTAGCTGAGCCTTGCTTCTCGCGCACATGTAGACTACGAGCTCCCCACTACCCTTCCGCAACATACGCAGCTCCACCTCATCGAAGTCATTTTATTAATGGCAGACGATATCCAGCAGCTCGTTATGAGTATGCGCCGTGAACAACGCGTTTGGGCATGATGTGTCGAGTGAATTCTGCCTATAGGGCGGTTTTAAATGACATTCTTCCAGTTTGAATTCTCACTGATGAATTTTTGCCCCATGTCTTTCTATGCGTGAAGGCAGTGTTTTCCAGCTCGCTCAGTTTCTTTTGCATCATGGTTGACCACGCCAGCCAGAGTAGTTGTGAACACAAAGGAGCGTCTGCTGGTACTCGATTCTTATACAGACCGGTCTTTATCCGGATTTAAAATGAGCTGCAATCAAGAAGCCAACCTGTGAATGCTGAAATTTCATTGAGAAATGCTTCCTGGTCGGCTCCGAAAAAAAAAAGAAAACGCGGAGTAGGCACGGGTTTATGCAGCCGAAATAAGTCTTGGTCGTAATTACCAAGTTTTGTCATCGACAAAGTCACTCGCCAAGCTAATGCGTTTCCCCGACACCAATAACTGATCGTCTCCACGCAAACGAACGGGGAACTGATGGGCAGTGTTTGTCGACACGGCTGGACACGGCTTACCAGAAGTGAAAAAAATCATTTAGTGAACTTGCCATACCGTGCTGTGTCGCACAATGTTTGTGCGCATTGTTTTGCAGCACCCGTGGAGTACCTGGTGGCCACCACCAAGCTTATCAATGGCAACAGCTTCCTCGAGTCCCTGGCAGAGCCGCTCCGGACACCGGAACCACAGTGAAGAGAAGTGCCGCTTCCGCGTGCGGTACTTAGTACACTTGCTCTGTTCTCAGCTTTTTGATATTTTTGTAGTTGCATCAGATCTACCCACCAGGTGAAGCGTCCGTGATGGGGAAGGTATTTATTAGCCAAAGAGAATATAATAAACGCCACGCATATTTTCATATCAGTTCAGCCAGGCTTGGCAGGCTGAATCCTTTGGTTTGGCTAGAAAAATGTACCTAGCCTGGTCCCCAAGTTGAACTGAGCTTCTTTTCAAGAAAATTGGAGTGGGGAAAAATCTTGAAGGTCACGTGGTGATATGCATCTAGTTCTTTACAATGCTGCGACTTCACTCAAACTGCTGGAACTTTTCGTGACAAGTCTATCCATTCTTTACAAGATATTGATTTCACTCGAACTATGGTGCTTGGATCGCGTCTCCGACTGGTTTGTTAACCGCGTCCAAAAGAGTGGTCCCTCGATTTCCGCCCGACGACGTCATCGAAGTGTCACGCTGTCGCCGGCTGCAATCCTGGCGGCGGCGCAACAGCAGCGGTGGTGGACAGGACAGACGCTTGTTCTGCTGCGTGTCGCTCACCAGACTGACAGTCCACGGAAGCTTGAGACGCCACGTCGACAGCGACACTCGCATTATCTCTTACCTTTTGCCGAAATTTCTACGACCATCCGCCGGGATCGCGACATCCGACAGCACGACACTCTGGCTTTCGCGACCTCATTTGTTGCCACTTGGGGGCACTTTGGATGCATGGGCAGAATAGGACGCCAAACACACTAGTCGGGTACGCGCTTCAGGCACCATACTCTAACTGCTAATAGGTTTTTTTTTTGAGTGGCAAACTATTTTTAGGCAGGTTTTTTTTTACCATTTGTAATTGTACAAAATTTAGAAGTGTGCAGAAATAATCTTTTTGAACCGCAGATTGAATGTATGAATATTAAGATTTAACTACAAGCGAATTTCAATATTTTCGAATCTGAACATTTTACATTTAGTGTGAATTAAATGTGAATACTTAAGTAAATCTCAGCTGGGAATGTTTTCTAAGATGTGTACCTATAAAAAGAAAGTTTTATTACTACATTGGACTCCATTTTCTGTATCTTGTAGTAATAGGAAGAAAAAAAGGCCCTTGTAAGACGTGTTCGGTAAATCATAATGTAATGTGGCAAGGAAAACAATGACTACCTACCTTATAATCAAGGGGTGAATTATGATTCTAAATTTATAACCAACGAAGGCCGACCTACACTAGCGAACAAACCTTCCAAGACCATTGAGCTAACCGAGATGCTCCGATACATCAGCTGTTTCTCCTAGCACGCCGGTGCAAAGCAGTGTAGCCTGACGCATGTGAGCTGGTGTGAAGCAGTGAGGTTTGACGCCGGAGTGCTGGTGCAAAGCAGTGAAGCTTAACGTGAGAAACCTGAGAATTTAGAATATTTTTGTATTGTATATTAAATCAAATAGCAAACAGCATTTGCAAATTATTCAAAGTTTTGAATATTTGTGGGCCTGTAACGAAATCTCGAACTAGCAACCCAGAGCAATCTGGTATCAAATTAGAATGTCTGTAGCAAACTAATTTTCAAGAACTGTTACTCGAAATGGCTGTCACTGCATAGCTATGAGTGTAAGCTGGTGGTAGATTGCTCATGTTGGTGATGTTTACGAAAAAAAAAAAAGCATGTTTATGTTTTTCTTCTTTTTTTTTATTGATTAACCATATAGTTGAGAATAACGGCACATAAATAATGGTTCACCTTCTTACTGAAACTTTTAGAAACCACTTAGGGTAAGCTTCATTTAACCTGGTCTCTGAAATTTCATGGTTCAGTGTCCTACTGGCTTCACTGCAGTATTAGTGGTGTCTTTAGCAATAACAGATGGTCTAGAAAACCATTTTAGCATAAGGTGCTAAATTCCAAGGACATGACCAAGGGCTGAAACAAAGCACAGAGGTTCATTAACATTGTCTTGAACCACACAATGTAGCATATCAATGTTATTGAACTCTAAAGGATATTTCGAGCATACAGCAAAGCACTGGATCAGCATTAAGTGCAAAGTCAGAGATGTGGTATCTCCTATCACTGCTTAGTCTTCCTCTTTACCCATTGCAAAACTGCTAGAAATTTTTAGGATCAAGACGAGTTTTATGAGATCCTTCTCTCTTGGAGCTTCTACTTCCAGCAATTTCTTTGGTCAGATTCCATCTACTTCTGGCAGCACAATATACTTTCTACGGGGAACAACAAGGTTTATGGCTAGCCCATATTGCCGCATCCTGTTCATTAAATATCCCATAGCTAGCTGTCATAGGCTAAACTTCTCACCTACATTGGAAACATATGATGCCTTTTGGAGCAGATTATAGTTTCCCACTCTCTGAACTTCCATGCGACAAATCTTAACCGGTGTTTAGCCATTCTTTTTCTTTTTCTTAAATTACATTTTTACTGAACAAAGTGGCAGCAGACTCGATTTGATATGTTGCCGGAGAGATATTCATGAGCTTCAAAATTTTGCCAGGCAGAGCCAGCCAGTGTGTAGTTTACTGTCCAGTTCTCCACATCCGGGAGTCAATTTTTCGGGCTGATGATTGTACCGCTGTAAGACGCATGTGATTGGTACACGGTTATGTGAAGACGGGTTGATGAGGTTGGGAGATCTGCACTTTTTTGCAACGTTGGGTCGTCGTTGGAAAGCTGAGCGACAGGCGTCTAGCTGTCGGATGCGGTCACCATGGTCCGGAGGGACGTCTGCGCATGACTGGCGCTCCTCGCCAAGACACCGTGAAGTGTGCTGGCGTCAGGGCGAGCTCCTCACTTGACGGAACGCGCTTGCGGGGCAGGGGTCACGTCTCTGGGTCAGAATGCTCGAGCGTTGCCGACTGATTACTGCTCAGACCGGGCGTTGTGGTGCAGAAGACGTTCCAGGGACCGGGCGTTGGGTACCACTTGGAGCACCACTACTTGGTCCGGAGACGTGCATTGCACAACCAAGAATGAAAATAAACAGAAGTTTGTCTGACGACGCTCTTCAGGATGGCATGTGTTTTAACTCGGAAATCACAACGGAAAAATGTTAGTGCGAGCTGTTAGAATTTGGTCGAACTGATTCAATGCCATTAAAAGGACGGCCAGGTATCTGCTCCTGTGGTACCAACTGGACACCTTGGCAGTCAAAGCCAGTTGATTGTCTTTCACAAGGTTAATCTCATGAATGGTCGCAAAATAAAGTTTTTTTTTTTATGTCTGTACAGTGGAACTTGGGCATAATATAATTGAAAGGAGACGACACCGGGGGAAAGGGTCGACCCGACTGTAGGAGCAATAGCAAGGGTGTATGGACTAGAATGGGAGACGTGTAGATCTCTCGGTGCACCCAATAGGGAAGAGTGCAAAACAAGCTCAAAAACAGACTTCGTCTTTCCACTTGTTTTCGCCGAGTTTGCAGATGTGATAGTTTTACGGTGTTCCCTATAGCTTTCATGGTTCTGGCTTCACAATGCCATCCTGGTGCACCTTGAAGCCATCAAACCTATGCACACATACTTTTAATTTCTTCAGAGATCCCACAGAAAATAATTGCAAGCATAGCATTCTAACTCTAGATCTTTCATTTCTTGTTTTTTTTCAAGCATGTCTTGTTTTTTTGCTGAAGTCAGAGACTGGCAATATTTCAAGTGCAAGATGTGTGCATTATTTATTTTAAATACTCTCAGTATTTTGCATTCAATTATGCATGAGGGATTGTACTTGTCAATTCTATCTAAACACTAAAAAAATAATTCTTGGCCCTCTTCTCAATATCATTGTTTGAGATTCTGAGCACAATAAAAAGGGAACCCATGGGCTCGGTAGACCTATGGGCTTCTCTCTTGGGGTTGCATTTACTATCAACCGAATAAAAAAGTATTTGAAGATAATAAAATGCCTCTTTGCACATGTATAAAAACTGCGATTACATTTGTAATTAAATACATGTTTGTCAGTGTGTTTTTATTGGCATTTCGATTTATCTTTTAAAGTATTTTGCCTAAATCTTTGATGAAACTCTGGCGGACTTATTATTCCACTGTCATTGCACGACAGATAAGAGAGTTTAGGGCGATTATCTTTTGCCTCAGCATAACACCAAATGCATTTACTGGTCGTGTCTGCACGTTAGTTGAAGCAGTGCATTCTGGCGACGACAGGATGGGCGGCGTACTTTGTCACATGGGGTGGTCCGAGCTTAGCACTGACTTGCGGCAGCGGTAGGACATGCAGTAGAGCAGGTCGATGCAGCACAGCTCGGCGCAGCACTTGACAGCCAGCAGGACGAGGAAGCAGAGGAAGACCAGCAACGTGGTGAGCAGCACCGACACGAGTACGGCCACGTCCTCGACGGACGGGTCGCTGGCCACAGGGGCGCCAAACTCGGTGCCAGTCTCGTTGGTGCTGCCTGTGCGGTTGCTCGCACCTGCCCTGCACATGTGGACGAGACATCACAACGCCCAACATCAATAGTCAAGGCACTGAGCCTGGTGACCCTAGTGCAAGATACTGAGCCAAGAGCTCTGTACATACACTGCCTTGCACAGACTGAACCTAGTGTTGCAAGATTTGTGCATGAAAATTGATGTGTGTCGGGATCTTGTTAGCTTGTTCACAGACCTCATTAGTTTTGTAAAAACATCTCCAAAAGGCTCAGCTGGTTCCAGCAGTCTCGGAAGGAAGGAACACCTGCTCTGAGACAGTTCTGCAAAACCAGATGGACGCTGAAGGCATCCTCACTCTGGTCGGTCTCCAGTAACTACTCTGAACTAGTCAAATTTCTTTTGGACGCTGAAGGACCAATTTCTTCTATGTATCATTTTTGACACATTTTTGGCGTGCTCACGAGACCACTCTACAGGCGCTTTACTTTTAAAGCACCCCCCCCCCGAAGACTGAAACGCTACGCCTCTGCAACAGCACGATGTCCTTATGGCCCTCACAGTGTTCCTTGATCTTGCAAGAGATCCTAAGATGTTCCCACAAAAATGGCAGTTCATTAGCTAACTAATCAACTAATATCACCTTTTTTCTTGTAGCTCACAACTTAGCCTCAGGGCTAAAAGAACCCTAACGCAAAATTAAATTAATTAATAAATAAGCATGTGTAATTAGTATAGTGGCACCTACCTAAATTTTCTGGGACTGGAGGACGCCTGACGGGAGGGTTCCGGGGTCACGGCATCCACGTCGTGTGAGCGCTGGTGCAAGTCTAGGAACAGGCTGAACAGGTGCCTCAGCACGGTGTCGTTGCTGTCCTTGAGAAGGAACCGTTTGCTTCCTGAGCTGTCCGTCGATGCCGCGGTGCTCCGATTGCAGTCCCACAGTTCCCGCAAATCTTGGCTCTCGCTTTCGCATTCCTAGCGAAGACAACAAGCGAAAGAGTAACGGATGGATCGATTGGTTTAGCGATCTATATTCTATCCAATACATTAATTCTGCTCATCCTGTCATGAATAATTGTATGCCAAAAAGCATACAACATTCCAAACATTTAAATATTCCTGTTTCTACACCGAGGAGCCGGCACCACTCCTTTGCACAGATAAATAGCACTTACACGGAAAAACTCTGGAACTAGGAGCAGGAGCCAAAGCAAAGGTTTGTGTGGCATGATCCCATGGAGCCTGCAGCTGCAGACCTTCAAGGATCGTGGAAAGCAATATTCTATTAATCAAACGCCTCTGCGCACAGGGCTCCGTCTTGACATAACTTTCCAGACGGCAAAAACTCGAGCGAGCTGTAGCGCGTCGGAGCAAGGCAATGCACCGCGTCGGTGTGCGCCCCTGGCAAACTTCACGCTCGCGCTACTGTCGGAACAGGGAAAGCGATTGGGCAATCGCTTCCCCTCTCCTTCCCCGCCCCTCCCCCGGACTTTTTAGAGCGAAGGGGAGGAAAGGCCTCTCAAACACTTTCGCCGCCCTACGGGTCCATATCACATGAGCGAATGACGTTTTAGCGAACAGCGACATTTGAACGAATCGACGTTTTAGCGAATAACGGGGGCGCGCGTTAACCCATCCGCCGCGCTGCGCTTTCGCCGCTTCGCGGCGACAGTCTGCGGTGGCTCATTACAAAAATGTGAACCCACTTGGCCCACCCGAAAACGCCGCTTCGCGGCGTCCGACTTTTCGCTAAAGTGTCATTCGGTGAAACTTGGGCTTTCGATAAAATGTCATTCGATCAAGTGAGTGCCTCCCCTCGCCGACAAACCAGCAGCCATTTTGTTCCTCGGCGATAATCCGTGGGGCTTATAACCCTCCCGGAAACAAGCACCTTATCTCAGAAGTTCGGAGCAGCGTTGTGGAACCCACGGAGGGAGGATTAGCATTTTCCCCCTCGGATGGGATTAGCGATGGACACAAAGGCCACTTTCCGGCGCACGGGGAAACAATGAGAGAAACAAAATGGCGGTGGAAGAAGGTGTGGGAAAGGGAAACAGGCAGTTGGCATCACTCTATGCGAAGCGCACATGAAGGCTTTCTAAGCTAGACCGTTAGACTCAGCTTACATAAAACACCTTGCCTTAGCTTATAGCTCTGAGGATTTCAGGCACTGTGCACATAATTAATAAACACCAGCCACTGTTCAAGCAGGCCGGTTAGCTGTAAAATTCAGCGGCTATTTAATTCCTAGCACGGTGCGCTTTACCTTCCGGCTACACGACTTCCTGTCATTTGTCGATAACGCCAAAATGCACCGGTATGGTATCAGTTTTATGATATCTAAAAAAAAAAAAAAAAAAAAAAAAGCCTAGTTGAACACATGGAGTGCAGTGTTCTTTCGAGCGTCCAGTGATAGGACTGATAGGGACTTCTACTGGATCAAGAGAACTGCGGTCACGAGAAAGGCCGAGTCCGAGCCTGGAGGTTTGTTTACAGTCCAGAAAAGGACTTTCGGACCAAGAGTAGGTTGAACTTTGCTCGCCGGCAAGGTCGTGTTGCAGCCCGGTATAGCTGCCCTTGACCCCTGGCGCGACGCCGCCTTGTACTGTCTTCAGTATAGCTCCTCGCATTTTCTTCTTCCTCCAGACACAACCGGTTGAATCTATCATCGTTTTCCTTTGAACATATCAAATTCACTTTTTCCGCAAGTTCCTGATACCCACGTCTAAAGTCATAAGTCGTTAGATGCAAAGCTGGTTCTGTGCCTATTTTGATAAGTCAACAGAAAAACATGAGTACCTAGAAATGGTTCGTTTTTCGCGCGCTATGAAGAATTTTTTAGCTTCAAGTTAAAGCGTTAGATGGTACTAAATACCGTCTTATTTAATTAAAAGAGATTAACTTCATATGTCCAGTAATTTTGTTACTTTAGGTGTACATCTAGCCGCAAATAAAAAGGCGACACGAGCGCCAATTTGTTCCAGCGGCAGTAATCTGAAACAAATCGAGGCCGTCGGCTAAGGGCAACGCGATCAACGCACCGGCCGCAGCAATCAATCGTAACAACATACCCGAGTCTCCGACGAATTGTTCGTGGGCAGCGGTTCCGTCGACCTCGGCCACCGCGATCGGTGGATCGTTCAACGCAGAAGCTCGGCCATGGCGCTGGTGACGCGGACCGAGGTGCGGCAGCTCTTGCACCCGCACTACCTGGTGAACCTGGTGCTCGCGAGCTGCTACCTGCTGCTGCGACTGGTGCCGCCCTTCTGCACCGTCCTCTTCCCGACGGGCGACTGCCAGCTGGACTTCCGCGAGACCGAGGTGCTCACCTTCCTTGCCGTGATCGTGCTGTTCCGAACCCGCAAGCTGGGCGTGGCGCGGCTCGTGCCGTACCTGTCCACCGCGTGCATGTACACTAAGGTGGCTAATCTGCTGCTCTTCTTCTACTGGGACCCCCGGCTGGGCGTCCTGTACGCGGCCGTCTGCCTCCTGCAGCTTCTCGTGCTGCCGGAGCCGTCGTACGACGGGCCCGACCACGTGGTTTACTTCCACGCGTCCACGCTGCGCGAGGAGTTGGAGCGCGACCGCCGCGTCTGCTGGCTGGTGGCCTTCTACGCTGTTTGGAGCCCCGCCTGCGTCAACCTGGCGCCTGTGTTCGCCCAGCTGGCGGCTAAGTACACGCTGGACAACCTGCGCTTCGGCAAGCTGGACGTAACCCGCTACCCGGACCTGGCGCATGAGTACCACATCAGCACGGCAGCCATGAGCCGACAGCTGCCCACCATCATCCTGTTCCGCCAGGGCAAGCCCGCCGCCAGGAGGCCAGATCTGGAAGGCAGCAAGTTGGCGCGCTTCGCCTTCACCGAGGAAAACATCGTGGCCGCCTTCGATCTCAACAACCTGTACCAGGAGTGCAAGCAGAACCCGATCCGCAAGAAGGCGCCCGCCAAGGAGGACTGAGCGGGTACGGTCCGAGTTCAAGGTCATTCCTCTCCCAGGACGGCTTGGGGCGCTTGGCGGATCGCGGCTCTAGCAAGTGGCAGAGCCAAGGCCTGCCAGAGAACCAACACCTTCAGCATAGATAGACTAGTCTTACATCCAGCCACTGGTGCCAAAACCATCTGTGCACGCAGGCTGAGAATGGTGGTAGCATTGAATGCTGCATGCAGAGTGCTGTTATGCCGCTGCACACTGGCCGAGCATGTGTTGCTGAAACGTGGTGACCTAGCAAGAGTGGCTCAGACGTTCCTAGTTCGTGGCCGGCAGCATAGTTCATACGATGCACGTGGTAGTTCTTAAAAAAATTTGTTAGAAAAGGATCCAGTACACCACATGAAGGGGATAATTAGTGATGCTCCACAAGGAGCCAGACTGTTTTTATTACGGTTTTTGACATGACAGGGACAAAACAGTCGTGAATTGAGCGAATGATGGGTGGTGCCAAGGGCAGCTGCGGCAGATGAACGCTACATTCCTGTGCCACTTTTTCTGCCTACCCCGGGTAGCACCAAGAACTTCAAGGGGCCATTCTTGTAGAATTAAAAAAACATAAAGGGATGCAAGTAGTGTGCATCACTTAAAACTCACCGGCTGCTGACCACTAGTGAGCAGGGTGGAACCGAGCACACTGGAAGGGAAGACACAAGTTTGACGAGATCTCCATTCAGGATGGAAATTTTCAAATGCAAGCATTGTGCTCTTACTGGTTTGCACTAATGGTGGATTACTGCTTAAGTGCCATCAGGGTTGAGTCAGGGCATTTCTTCACACGGGCATTACAGTCACTTGCAGTGTTACGGATGCCTTTCTTAAAGTTTGAGCTTAACTTTTGTTGCCTGTACTGGAAAATAGTGCAGGCAATTTTTTTTTTTTAACACAACATTACAGCAGAGGTTTTTCCTACTTCTCTTTTGCCTTAAGTTACATGTTTGCTCTCATTAGAAACTCTTTTGGTTAGTGTGTAACAGCGGTAATCCAAACAGGTCAAATGAAGGTTGTGCTGGAAAGTTTCTCGCAACTGGCGGTTTGTTCCACGACAGCTCGCCAAACTTTCCATTGCCTCTTCAATTTGAACTGAAATGGGTGCTCCCTCAGATTTTAAGGAAGAACACTTTTTTATGTTGAAAATAAGGTGCGTAGATTTTTTTTTAAAAACTGACACATGCCAAGAAAACTTAACTGCACTGCAGATGTATGAAATGAGGAGCATTGTCCTAAATGATGGGAGCATAAATAAATAAAATTCAATGTTTTACTTTTTGCATTTCTGAATAGGTTTTTATTTAGAAGTGACATTTTTCTTTTTACATTTGTGTAAACAAATTTTTACCTGTTTATTTCGGGGTTTTGGATGGCATCTCCAATTCACTCATTTATATGGTGTCTGTTATGCTTTTCTTTTTCTGAGAACTGGCCAGTTACCACAACTGTAGCCACTGAACAAAAAGTGGTTTCAGAAAGCTGCTGGAGAGTATGCAACTGCCATATAAGAAAGGGTGATGATTTGCCAATCAAGTGATAAGACCTAAATTTTAACAATGAAGAAATGAAAGAAATAGGCGTTGTGCTTATTTGTCCAAACTGAGGACAACGGAAAATATAGACATGGACTGACAACTACAGACTGCATATTGCTAGGCTCGACCCAGACCAAACAAGGAACCTTTAATTTCACCGGTCATGCATATTGCAATCACTTTATCCGATTGCAACACTACCCATGTATTTTCCCAAATTTTCAACATTAATGGGTGCTTGTCCTTTTCTGTTTACGCCTCATAGTTCTAAAAATCTCCTTCTGCACTTGAAATTGGCAAGTGGACGACATGAAGCGTTGCTGTAAAAAAAGCGGACTAAGCAGCCCAATGTGGGTGCCAGCTTTTGGAGTACTGCATTCGTCAAGCACACACAAAACTCTTTGCAATGCTTGAAGCTTGTCATTGGCTCAAATAGCAAGTTTCAAAATGTTGCCATATACTGAAAAGTTGTGGGACATTTTAAACAATGAAAACAGTTCAAACTCTATCTTTAAAGGACAGCAGGCTTGAAACAAAACCTGAACGCAAAGGTAATAACAAACAACTTTGAAGCCGAGGAATGTAAACATTTCAGCGGAACTCCACCTGGTTAGGTAAGTACTAAGAGAGGGTACTTAGCAGACTCTAACCTATTTCTTCAACGTGCTTGACGCTTCGAAGCCGGCTCAGCTCCTTATTCACTGGCGACTGTGTGTGGGCCCAAAGGTAGCAATGTGTTGTTTTTTCCTTCTTTCTCACAGTATTGTTTTCTTCCGTTTTTGTGTGTGGCATAACGTAGCCCGTGCTTGGCAATGTTCCGGTGGATCGGTTCAGATTGTTGTTCGTATTTTGTATATGCCAAGATTCTAGTAAGAGCTGCTTTCTCCAATTTCTTTCTCTGTCAAAGATGCAACTGCTGTCAAAGATGATGACGTGGCCCGACGAGAAGTTTAGGTAGCGATCGCTACCTAAATTTGTTCCGACCACCCCACAGCTCACAAATCCTCTGTGGTGTCGTTGTTCTTTCAACGCGCTCCCACGGTCTGCTCAACAAAGAAGTCGCTGAAGATAAAAGTCAATCCTATAAAACGAGACCTTCGAAAAAACAACTACCCCACAAGATTCGTCAACAAGACATACAAAAAACTTCGTCACCCTCCTACATCCAAGAACAAAAACGCCTTCACCCTCATGTGCGTTTTGCACCTCCATGGCACGAGCGAGGTCCTATACTTCGTCTCACTCTACGATGGACTAAAGGCAGATGCTACGGACCGCCCGATCCAATCCCGAGCCACTTAGAAATAGTGCGGTATTTTGCTTCGATGCACGTATCGGATCCCGCGTCTCGGATCACTGATCAGGGGATGGGTGGACAGTGGCTCGAATCAAAGAGCACTGAGTGACTCAACAATTTTTTGTGTCGCACAGAAAGCCACGACACATAGGCTGTTTGCAGCGTCAAAGCTATAGCTTTGACGCTGCAAAGAGCCTATGTGTTGAAGCATTATTCATCCACCCTATAGACAGTGTTAAGCGTGTCATAGCATAGCGTGGAACGGGATTGGACCTGGCGGCCCGTGGCTTTGGCCTTTAGTCCATCGTAAGATGAGACAAAGTATAGCCCGCGGTCCGAGACTGTACGGCGTATCAGTTACACAAACCTGTTTCAAACCCTAGGCCATTTTCTTTCTTTTTCGAAGGACCGTCCCCAAAAGAAAAAGCTCAAGGCCTGATTTACTGAATTCCTTGTGCTGAATGCAACGCCTCATACGTGGGGGAAAACTTTTCCGAACGTCTGCACAGACATAAGTATGACGTGAAAAAGGAAGACATCCAAGGCAACGCGCTGGTGGGACATGCTCAGAAGACCGGCCACATCATCGCCTTTGACAACAATTCCATCCTCGACACAGAAGGAAATTGGAGAAAGCGGCTTTTATTAAAATCCTGGCATATACAAAATACGAACAACAATGTGAACCGATCCACTGGAACGCTACCAAGCAGCTATACACACGGGCTACGATGCGCCACACACAAAAACAGAAGAAGAAAACAATACTGAGAGAAAAAAGAAAACGACAGATTGTTACCTTTGGGCCCACATACAGTCACCCGTGAACAAAGAGCCGAGCTGGCTTCGATACATTGGGCACATTGAAGAAATTGGTTCCGAGGAACAAAAAAGGGACACACACAAGTGTCTTTGAACTCAACATTTTATTTCCCCTTTCTGGTTTGTAATGAAGAACCACCACCAAACTTTCATCTGCAAATTAAAGGCCGAGCAGAAGGGAGAAAACTTTGCCTCAATTCCTCCTTTCCATTCGAGAAAGAGGTAGACCCTCCTTTCAGTGGGGAGTAGCTCAGACTGGGGAGAGGAGGAGAGAGGGAACAGGGAGAAGGAACCGGTTTTCTTCCTGGCAGAAGCCGATTCTGTATATCAACCTTTGAGCTCACCGCATCCCAAGGAGGTGGTGTGAATTGTTCAATCCTTTCCCAACAATACCAATGGCAGTCCCAATGATGAGCTGACAACCCAATAAGAAAGTGCATCTCAAGATCGCAGGATGATGAACCTTTCCTCCTTAACGCCCATTCTCTTAAGCTGTAAAGCTCTAAAAATATCAGCCTTTTTCGGTTAAAACTGAATTTTGAGACAGGAATTTGGCACTCTTTTATTGGTTTAATTGAAAGCAACATAGCCTATGTATGAGGTTTAGCTGCGTGTCACCATATTCTGCAACTCAAGATTTTCTGCGTGCTTATTTGTGCAGGTACTCGACCAGATGTAAGATTGTCTGGTCTGGCACGTGCACCACTTGAGAAGTCTCGGAGATATGCAACAAAGGTCATCAAAGCACCCCGATACTATCAAACAACCCGTTGTGTGCATCTAAATAACCATTTATTGTCATCACGATCCATCAAAGCCTCCGAATAAAAAAATGCGCAGCAGCTTCTGAACAAAAGCAAAACAAGACTTCTTCACCATATACAAAAACTGCTTCAGCCACCAATAATATAAAATGCGAGATTCCGTATGGAGATACGGTAGATTGCAGCAACATTCTACTCAATGCGAGACTCTTTTATAAGCATTTGTCGCAGCCCCGGAAAGTCGGGCCATAGTTTTTGTGCTTCGTAGGCGCAAAAGGCGAAAAATGTGTGCGAGGGCATGGCCATTCGCCGTGTATGTGGCCGTTCGGCAAGTACATCGAGCTGGACATTGCAGCGAGATTCTGTAGCCTCACAACCGTTAGCCCCATTGTTGGCACACGCCAACAATGCGGCACAGCCTGTCACTGTCAGCAAAATGAGACCGCAGATAAAAATAAAAATTGTGTCGAGGTCCCGACGGTAGAGCTCCGCTTCGCGCCAGCACCCGGCGTCGTCTGAAAACTGTCGCAGAGGTGGCCAGTGTGGCTCTCTGCAGCGTAACCTGTGGGGCCTGCGGCGACTAGAGGACTAGTGGACGGCATCCTTGACAGAAGGCACCACTGGCGGCGCAGTGCCCGTTCCCTCTAGATCGGAGTGTAGTTTCCCCGCGGCTTGTAAAACAGCTGCCCCGTGAGCAGACGGCGGCCGATCTCTCGTCGCAGCAGCCCCAGCTCCTTGCCAACCTTCTGCAGCAGGCTGTGGTTCTCGACGGCACGCCGTGACAGGTACGGTATGACCTCGTCGATGGGACCGTAGGGCACATACTTGTACACAGAGTAGCCTGCCTGGCCTGGGGTAAGAGGGCAAGGGAGGAAGGCCCTCAGACCTTGTCCGGGAATCACCGAGGGAAGCCCCGCGGAGACGAGAGGTGGAAAGTCGTGTTTTGCATCCCTGTGTAATTTTAGGAACTCGAAGGAGCCAAGAGCCAACATTTTGTCAAACAAGAGGATCCCCTCTTGATGCTTTGGCTGCATATGTATATACTGGCAGTTGCGAGGAAGAGTGCTGCACAAAGTTTTATCTGTGTACGTGAATTGTAAAAGAAGTTATTGTCGTTTTTATCAGGAACACACTGATTTTGCTTAGGAAATCTGTATTTAGAAAACTAATGTAATATCCAATGTTGTTCTATTTTTTTTTTCACTAGATCTGCAGCAGATTGTCTGAAGAGAGCAACTGTGAAAACAAAATTTCCAAAAAGTGATTTATTTTATGCTAACATTGCAGTGAAAAGTCAAATTTTTTGCCTTATATGTCGTCGACAAAATCTAAAATCTTTTATAAAAGACATCCAGAAAGTAAAAAAAAAACAATTCCACAGTTGCATTGCCCATAAAATTTCAGTTAAGAAAAACAATGAGTGAGTCTTTCCCTTTGTCTCATTAACAAACAGAACTTTTCCTAAAGCGAAATTTGTGCCAAAAAGTGGAACGGAAAAAACTGCGTTCAAAGTACTCCAACCTCTACCTTTTCTTTAGCATTGGTGGACCGAAAATAATTAAAGAAGAAATTAACTATGCAGTGTAAACTAATGAAACTTTCTGGGAATACTCTCTAGATGTTGGTGAATGTAAATATGTCATTTTTCAAAATCAACCTTTTTTGCAGAAATGCAAGAAACTTGGCAAGACAGGAGATGGACATGTCGTCCATCTCCTCTCACACCTTGTTCTTTTTTTCTTTTTTTTTTTGCATAACTAAGTTTTGTTGGGTTGCTCGAGTTCCTAACGTTCTCTCAATCCTGAAAACATTTTGTTACTCAATATTCAAAGACAATAATATTTACCTGATCCGAACCACTTTTCCCCATCGATGGTGACCATTTGTAGGTGTACTGCATTTATATATTCCTACATGATGAGAAACAGTGCAAAAGGGACAGGACACAAAGTAGAAGAAGGACACAGGACATACGCTGTTTCTCATCATCATGTCCTTCTTCTACTTTGTGTCCTGTCCCTTTTGCGCTGTTTCTCATCATGTCGTTCAACCAACCAGCCCAGCAAGGTATCCCATTATATATTCCTCAAAATGCTACAGCACAAGGTGTTACGGCAGTTTGGTGTTAGATTGAACAAAGACAATATAACTGCGAAGCAACAAAACACTCTAGCCTAAGGCAAAGAACCACCTCGTCCCTCCCATCCAATTTAAAACCGAAAAAAAGGTTTTAGAAATGAATTTTTGAAGATGTTATTTATTATCAGCATACTCTCTTTTTGATAAAGGTCCACATGTTTCAAGTGGAAAGACACAAACCATACAGCCCGAACCACACAGCCTTTACGAACCATACAGCTCGACCACGAGTCTGACTCACGTTTCGGTTTCGGCGCTTGTTTAGCGCGCTCTCTGGCCTGGCAGATGGCTAAACCACCCTTGTTGCTCAATTTACCTTGGGTAGTTTGCTCGTTTGTTTTGCTGTTTGATAGAGAGAAAATGCTCCATTTGGGGCCAAGTAAAGAAAAGCAGTCGCTTGTGGACGTTCACGCTAAAACAACATGGCCTTGGCGCGGAGGTCCTCTTTAGCCGACAAAGAGATACAGATCCTTCCTTATGAAAGGAATTAATGCTCAGGCATATGTGACGACGAATCCTTCAGCCTTTACGATTTTTAGGAATCAAACGATAGTTTGACAGGCAGTGACAGGAGCGATGAAAACAATGTAAATCCTGCAAGCTTTCCACCAACTCCAGCGTCCGCAAATCTGTGGGACTTGAACCAGAAGTCCTGACTGAGAGCCTGATATGACATCTGGAAATCGAGGAAATGTTTCTGTCTTATTTTAATCCAAATTGCTCATTAAAAATAAAAATTTGCTGTACGTTCCTTGAAGAAAAAAATGAGTAGGCAAGGGGTGAAAGACCATAAAATAATTTTTCGACTTCTTCCTCCTCAACTCAAAAGTGAAATGAGATATTACATTGTCGTGACGTAGTATTTCGCCAGAACCAAAAGTTCTCCCAGCTGTCCGAGGGTCGGCCTTCCACAACTGGCCAGCCAGTCGGACGCATCACGGCGAAAGGAAGGAGAGCTTTCGAACGAAAAGAGGGAAGAAAGAGCCTGCTTTATTTTCAGAATTTCGTACTGAAAAGCAGACTTTTGGCTCTCTACTTTCGTGTACTAGTTTTCTCTTAACCCACTAAACAATGTGTAATTAGTAAAATCCCAATCTAAAACCATTTATTTTAGCCCAGAACTAATTCCATGGTCCCTTTAAAACAACCAAAGACGAGGGATGGCTCAGCCCACACTCGGGCAAATTCGTCCTAACTGCTCGAAACATGCTGCACAGCCCCGACCAAGCTTGGCTCCGATGAAAAGAACTCACCCAGGGGGAAGCTGACCTGGTCGCACATGCCCAGCAGCTGGCCAAAGCAGACCACCTTGTCCGCAGGCTGGATGCCCAGCTCCTGCATTCTGGGGACATGCAGACATGCTGCTCAAGCGCAGAGCATGGGCCGGGACGCCGGTTGGACCTTACTGACACTTGCGGAAGGCCCAGGTTCCCAAGCTTCTACTTGTACTTCATTTTGTTTTAATTGCGAACATAGCGGAAGCTGCAAGAGTGAGCTTTGGGCTTTTAGCATTCCTGCCACGCACATTTGTTTGTGCGGCACAAGTGTTGTTCGGGGCAATATGATCGTGCTTGTAACATCGGCTTCGCTCATTCACGAAGTGAAATGAGCTATATATTTTTTGTCGATGGCAAAGGTGTCGGACCAACTTAAGAAATTATCCACCATATTAATGCACGAATGATGGTGACTGCACCATCTGCAGCTAGACTGGCACTTTTTGCTTGCTTTTTCTTTATTATTTCCAAAAAAAACTATTTAAAAAGTAAAACCTTGTTATGCTTTTCAGGAAATTGCAAAATAAAACCGCAAAAAACTCAGCATTTTTTTAAAACTTGTAACAGCTGATAACGATTTTGGGAGTTTGTGGACAATACAGGAATCAACTCTCATAAAAATTTTTTTCACCTTGGCTCTTGTGGCAAAGGAGGGCTAGGATAATTAGGGCATTCAAATACAGGTAGACATTTCTTGGAACTGGTATTTAAGATTGAGGGCCAATCTATCAATGCAACGAAGAAATGTCGACCTATAGGAGCAAGAAAAAATTTGGAGTCCATTGACCAAACCCAGATGCTCCCCACCAGTGGCGTCACTAGGTTCAGTGGCACCCAAAAAAGCAGCGCTCCACGACACCCCCCCCTCCCCCCCCCCCCCTTCCCAGCCTTGTGGCCAACCGCCCCCCTTTGTAACGCCACTGTTCCCCAAGTCAACCACTGCTGCTGGCACGCCGGTGCAAAGTGGTGAAGTTTGGTGCAAGAGCACCAGAGCAAAGCAGGCTTGATGAGAGCAGTTTGGATCAAACAAGGACATACACTTCTGATTTTCAGCTCTCGGGCCTAACAAGTGGCCATTACCATTTTTCATAATTATTATCTCCAACATTTGGGTAGGCACTTGCTCGGTATTTCTGGTAAGCAAAAAAAAAGTAAAGGATTTATCTATTCAATATATTTACTCAACAATCACTCAGACATACTTGTTTTTTTTATTTTATTGGCTTACTTTTCCAGTACCTAGCACAGATCCTTTTTCTTTAAAACAAACATCCACCGAGCTTTGTTATTTGCTGGGCTCCGACAACTTAGTGACTGTTCGTGCCGAGAGAAAGTGGACACATGTCTATAAGGAGGGTGGTCTACAAGAGAAAATGTTCGGCAGAGCATGCAGCTGTGGCACAAGCAGAAAGAGTTTCGGGGTCCAAAAGTCCAAACTCTCTCTCTTTCTCTCCCCTCCCCCCTTTCTGCCCCCCCCCCCCCCCTCCCCCCCTCCCAATCTCCAAAAAGAAAAAGGAAATATCCAGCCCCCCTTGTAATGCGGACAGCTCGATTTTTTTTACAAAACACAAAAGTAAAGCACAGACAAGGACACCACTGTCTCAGCAAAAGCCCCTAATCCAACCCCCCTCCCCCTGCCCCCCCTTAACTCTTCACACATACTCACTGCTTGACCGCAAAACGGACGGTGTCCTCGTTGTGGGATGCCACCATGATGGCGATGGTCTTGCGCTCCTTCTGCTGTGCCACCTGCCTGAGGCACTCTGTCAGGGTTTTGTGGTAGGTGGCATTGGTGTCTTCGTAGGTGGCGTTGATGGGGTCCTCGTAGCCCAGGGTCTTGGCCCGCAGGCGCTCCTGCTCCATGTAGGCGCCCCGAACCAGCTTGGCACCGAAGAAGAAGCCTTGGCGCCGGGCCAGCTCCAGGTCTCGCACCACGTGATCATAGGTGGTGCGTAGGTAGCACTGGTACGTGTTGAAGATGATTGCTTTCTCCCGGTTGTACTTGCGCATCAGCTCCATGGTGATGCGGCTGATGCCTGGCTGGAAGTATGTCTGCTCTGCGTCCACCATCACCCGCACACCCTTCTCCTGGGCTGTCTGGGGAAGTAGGCTTCATCAGTCCCTCCGCCATTCGTGTCTCCGATCTCCGATTTGGATGGCCTTAAAGAGGCACTGACAGGGTATTTATGCTCGCCGAGGTTTTCATTTGAACATGACCTATACAGTCGAACCCGTTTACAACGAACAGCAGGAAACGCTATGATCAGTTCGATATAGCAAGTAGTTCGATATAGCAAAAACCATTTACAACGAACTTCCACGATGCGTTCGTTGTAAAATGAAAACTTCTCTTCCTTTCTCATCTCTTCATTTCTGCCTTGTAACAACGCGCTGAATTTTTTTTTATTTTGCATGCGTGCAAAGCTTTTTTTTTTTTTTTGCTTATCTTTTTTGAATTGCTTCTTTTCGTAGGCAAACGCTTTGGGACGAAAAGTCTTTTTTTTTCTGTGCGTCCATGCAGAGTGTATTTTTTAGCATTGCTCCCCTTCTGAATCGCATCTCTTCGCTCAATTCTGTTCGCAACTTGAGCTTCAGGAATTTTCTTTCCTTCTTACTTATTTTTGGGGGGAAGGAACAGGCTAGAAAACAATTGTTTGCGCGCTTTTGAAAGCCTTCCCGGGGGAAAAAGTTTGATATAGCCTATATGTTGTTCGTTATAGAAAGTACTTTTTACATGCATTTTTTTTAAAATTTTCTGCGAGTTCGATATCGACAATAATTCGCTGTACGTGGGTTCGTTCTAAACGGGTTTCAGTGTAGAGCCCGAACACTAAGAAAATAGTTTGCAGCTCAAAATTCGTTTCCTTTCCGATCGAAAATTGGCCAGTTTCAGTCGCGCTCACTCTCTTTTTCATGGCCATGTGGCATTCAACTACGTGTACCAAGTACACTCGAAGTCGTGGGTCTTCTAAGGCACACATTCAATATTACAAATAGAAAAGAATACAAGCCCCATTTTTGTGGCCTCCAAAACACTGCAAATACGTTGATTGAAAAAAAAAAATGTTGCACAGATCACAGGAAGTACATGTACATTCTTAATATGGCAACATACTGCGGGCTCGACGACGCGGTGCCGGCGCACGACGGACCAACATTGCGACGGACGTGGGGCTGCTGCTTCCGAACTGTCGTTCATGCTGTCGGCCAATCAATCTCGAAGAGCAGGACATTGAGTAGAAGGAATATAGGTCCGAAACAACTGCACGACAAATGGTGCACGCAACTTCTTTTCGTCTGCTTCACATGCCGGAGAAGCGGAGAAAAAAGAAAATGCGGTAGGGTGTAGCCACGTGACTTTTAGCCATGAGCTTCCGTGCTCATGTTTCAGTTTTAAGCAGTTTAGGTTTTTGGCTTGATTAAAAATATACGTGACTCTTCAGCAAAATATTGATTGGGTGGTGTCGGACACCATATTAAATCGCCCGGCAAAAAATCAAAAAGCATTTTTGGGGGGTGTCAGTGTTTCTTTAAAAAACAACTCCGCTTTATTTTTGTTTTTAAAAAAAACAATGCAGTCTTCTTCAGTGTCACTTAGGAAGACCAGACGTCAAATATTACAGCCTAGCTCTGTCTCAATTTTTCTTAAACAGTCCATTAAACTTTGCAATGCGCCAAGTTGCCGAAATTGGCTGACTCTAGAAGGCGAATTGAGGTGCAACCAACAGCACAGTCAGGGCTACAGCATTGGCGTAGCTAACATTGAGCTAAACGTCATCACCATTGCCCCTTTTTGTTTGTTTTTACTTCTCCGGGCAAGCGTAAAGGGTGACACCAGCAACGTTTCCCCTCGACGCTGAGCGGTGTCTACGGGATTGGCGAACAAGCTTGCGCTGCGCTTCTTAAAAGCCGTTCGGCCATCCCGTTTTACCGCCGTCTCCTGCGTCACAACCGCCTTCGTCATCTCACTGTTTTGTGATTAATGTCCCTTGGACTTTTGTTCACACTACAAGCGCAAATTAATGCTGCTGTTGTGCAGACATTGTCGAATGGCATAAACGCCAAAACGCGGTGAAGAGTGCAGTGCAGATGACACTTCCGCCTGGCACATGCCCACCCCAACACAGGCCCACTGGCCTGCCCCGATTCCACCTGTCATTGTGTAGAGGAGCACGTCACATCTTCTACCACGTAATAGCCATTTTTTTTTTTTGCGGCCCTAGGCAAATGTCGTTAGATGGAGCTGAAGTTTCAGTTTCAATTTGTGCTCAAGTTTAAAGTAAGTTTTCACAATAATATATCTCACTTTTTCGCAAAGCAAATGACGTAGTTTTTATTAGTGCTTTTTAATATAAAATCACTTATAATCCCAAAATTTTCTGAATTGAGCGGAGCTGCCCTTTAAGAAGGCCTGTTGTAGCAATTGATTGATTAAAGACTGGTTACGACTAAGTAATTACAATCTCTTGTGATTTCTTACGATGAGAGAATGCACTGGCATGCTGGCACCATCTATGAGGTGACCCTGGAACTGCACTTCACCAAAGCAAAGGTCAATTGTGTGTATTATCTATGAAAAATGGTTGTAGATAGCGCCAGTGTGTATTTTCGTACTGAGAGACCACAAGCAGTTTTAATGCACTCAGCCATAAGTAGTCGCAATTGTGTGAACCAGCCTTGAAAAAACATTAACACCCTCCCAAATGTTTCAATGTAGCGGCTCCATGTCCATCGCAACGTTGGTCCATCGTGCGCCGCCATCGCGTCGTCCAGTCCACGGCACATCGCCATATTGAGAATGACACATACATGCACTTCCTGTGATCTGTGCAACATTTTTTTTTTCGGTCAACATATTTGCAGCTTTTTTGGGGGCCACAAAAATGGAGTTCATATTCTTTTCTACCTTTAATATTGAATGTGTGTCTTAGATGACCTACGACATTGAATATATTTGGTACACATAATTTGAATGCCACATGACCATAGAAGAGAGAGTGAGCGCAACTGAAACCGGCCAATTCTCGAACAGCGGTTTTCGGGCGTAAAGGAAACGAATTTCAAACTGCAAATAGTGTTCTGGGTAGATGGGCTCTTATAAATCACATTCAAATAAAAACCGTTGCGAGCGTACTAAATACCCTGTCAGTGCCCCTTTAAGACAGCCTGCCCTAACAAGCATTCAATTAATACACACACACTTGCGAACGTAACTGTGTGGGCAATGCCCCAGCGGCAGAGCCCTCGAGACAGAAAAACAGACATTTTAATCGAACAACTGGTCTTGCCAAAGAAAATAACCTCGCCAAACCCCGACCCCTTTCCCAACACTCGAGAAAAACTGAGGTAGCAACAGAGCACAAACTCTGGTCTATACAAATCGGTACTAATATAAGTATAATACACTAATAAAATAAATAGGCATAAAAAATAATATCTGAAGACGGTAACAGTTGCTAGAAAAAAGGGAAAATCTAACACTGAGGTGAGGCAACTGCCATCAGGTTATTTAGAGTGATTTCCACTCCTACAAGTAACTGCAGCAGTTCCTCATAAAAAAGTCAAGACAACATAGTAGGGACCTCTGCAATAAAGGCGTTCGGGTCACTTCGAGTTACCGACACCTTTTGGCACCTAAACTAGTTGTAAAGACGATTCAGAGCGGGCCTCACCCTGGCTATCGTGTGGACCCGGCGCATCATGTTGCGGAACATCTCCTCTTCTTCCTCGGTCAGGGCAGAAATGATGGGCTCCATCCGTCCCGTCTGCACAAAAGACGACAACCTTTGCCAACCTGGGGTTGCAGGACGCGGGTCATAATTGGGTGCTTTTGACAAGTAGCGGCCTTCTTTGCGGTACCAAATGCCGTGACCTTGCTTGTTTTAGGAACAAAAATGGAAACTCTGAGCGGACGAACCAATTGAAAAACTCAAGAGCCGGTCTGGGCCCATTGACTCAATTAACCAAACCGGGCCTGGCCCACCTAAAGCGAGCCGACAATGGAAAATTAAACATATCTTGGCCTGGATCTAGCTTGGACCCGACTCGGGCCAGCCCCGAAAACAATGTGCGCGGCTTGGCACGGGCAGAGCTCCAGTCTTGTGCCAACGGCCAGTTTACATCCGAGGCTGTGCGGGTGTAGCCCGAAACAACCCATTCCCGTTTGAACCCGTCCTGTTTTGACCCATTCCCGAAACGACCTTTCCGTTTGAACCTGTCCCGTTTCGACCCATTCCCGAAACGACCTTCCCGTTTAAACCTGTCCCATTTTAACCCGTTCCCAAAACGCCCTTCATGTTTGAACCCGTAGCCAAGACGTATTTTGCGTTTGAATTTGTCCCGTTTGAACCCGTTGGTATAAAGCCCCGCACATCTCAACCTCTTCGCGAAAAGTGTCCATCGTTCTAATCCTGGTTTGCGCAGTTTTTCTGCTTAAGAATATGTCCCAAAATCATGTTAATGCAATTAATGCAAAGGTGCAGGCAAGCAATTCAGTTATGTTGGGAAATATTTTTGCTTGTGTAACTACGAAATGGACTATGTACACTGCGTGACAACGTTATTACGAACACGATGTTGGCGATTTTTCGAATTTTACTTCGAAATGGTATTAGAAGGTACCACATTTTACCGCTTAGGTTAGTGGCCCAGATGAGCACTTTCAGAACACATATATAATATTGATGGCAGTCAGATTTGTTTTAGACAAACAGGTAAAACCAACAATCGCTTGTTCGCGCTAACGGTTTCGCGCTCTGTACAATAACAAGGAGCTTTCGTAGACCGTTTTCAACGTCACGCGACGCTCCTCCACAACCCGCTACGATACCCAGAACTCTACAGTCAAGGCCATCGGCGCACAGGCACAGTAGCGGCTTCTTCGTTGCGGAGGGCCTAGTGAAAGGGGAAACACGGTCACCAAAAACTCCCTAATAAAGTCTTAGAGTAACGCAGGCAAGCGCTTTGAGTAAGCGAAAATTAGCGTTGCCTGAGTTTTTATATTGCGACGCTATTTTTTAGGTTACCCAAAGCGCTTGCGTGCGTTATTCTAAAACATCCTTATATTGAACGGGATATTTTTAAAAGTGATAAATCAGGCAGGCTGACGGGCATATGATTGCGACTTCATTTTCTTACAAATTAAAACACAGAACCGTCGTGTACACAGGCAAAAATCATAAACCACAAAATGCTATCACCTTGGTTGAGGAAGTTGAGCAGGAAAATCGCGCAATCAGAAAGGCGACACTCCAGTTGTGATAGTTTGCGGCGGACACCTCGCCCGCACGGCACCACCATTTGCAAGCTGCTGCAGCGATATCCTTGTCAAGGCCTCATCCCGTTTGCAAGTCAATGAAGTTGTAAATGTTCAGGTGAGCCCCCCCTGACACAGTGTTTATCTTACGGTGCCATGTAGGTTGTTTCGGGAGAGGGAGAAGTGATGTGAGCAAGGAGAACAGACACTGGACACTTGAACCTAATCAACTGTTAACGAACAATACAAACGAACCGAACAATGGCCAAAGTGGGAAGGTGGTTTCAGGAAAGGGCGAAATGGGAAAGGATGAAACGAGAAGGTCGTTTCGAGCCGGGTCGAAACCGGAAGGTACAAACGGGAAGGTTGTATTGGGAATGGGTCGAAACTGGAACCACCGGCTGTGCAGCTGGTCGAGTTTGTAGTGTGAGGTGGTGGCTGGACAACAAGTCCCACCCACCTGCAGGTTGGGAACCTTGAAGAGATCCGAGATAAAGTGGTTGGTGTCCACCAGGCCGCTCCAAGAGAAGATGTTCATCAGGCTGCACAAGACAACAGGCACATCACTCCAAGACCTCCAAAAACAACCTGTGCTGCTGAAGCTTCTAAAGAAGCCGCTTGCGGGCTGGTAAGATTTGAAGTTGAGGGCAGAGAACTTGTCGCCAGAAATGTGATAAAACAAGTTAAAGCAATTCAGTCTTGGAGACTGCTCAAGCTTTGTTGATTCAGTCGTGCCCCATTATACCACCGCCCAACAAACCAAGTTTCCGCGTAACCAAACGGCACAACTCGGGAATGGACATTGTTAACACTCGCTCAACCCTGATCCTACTAACCGAGCAATTCTTCCCCTGAAAACAGTTCAGAAGCCAGACAGAAATTTGGACAAGTGAGACTCGACTTTGTCGACAAAACAAGCGGATTTTGAGCCGGATGGGGCTAGATCGGATGCAGTCCCCTCACCAGGGTTCTGCACGACAAAATAAAATAAAGAGCTTGTGCCCCCTACAAATGTCGCATTGTGGGACCGATTAACCTTTCTAAAGCAAAAGCATGCAGGGCTCAGAATAGCTCATCTCCACAGTTTCTGCCATAGCATAGGCTAAAAAAAAGATAAAGTGAGAATACAGCACAGACGTCTTAAACCAAGGGGGGAAAGACAACAGGTTGGAAGGGACAAGTTACAGGTGACAAGAGGTTAGAAGGATGTCTCGTGCCGTGCCGTCCGTTCTGTCCCCACTCACCGTGGTCGACGCGTCGGGGAAAGATGGGCCGTAAATGTATTGTGCCTGGAATGCATCTTTGACTGGCATGTTTGCCGTGTCGTAGAAAGTGGTCCCTCGATTTTTACATGACGAAGACACTCGCATTCTCTCTTAATTTTTGCCGAAACTTCTACGCCCGACCGCCAGGATCGCGACGTCCGATGGCACGACACTCCGGCTTTGGCAACGCCATTTGTTGCCACTTTGAGACCCCTTTCAACGCGTGGGTGAAAGAGGATGCAATGCGGAGCGCAAGTTGGTCTGCTCATTGCACAAGGGTTGCAATGATATCAGAACGCCAAGCTCTTATTGGCCGATTAAAAAATAGTGGGTAGACCTCGAGGCCTCTAGCGTTGAGGTTTTTACCCGCTGTCCTTCCGATCAAAACCAATCAAAGATCGGTGTCGTTTTGACGTCACCGCAACTACAGCGCAAGGAGCAGACGGCTTGCTCTCCGCATACACACCAGTCAGAGATGCGTTCCAGGCACTGCAGTGCCAGAGTACTCATGGGCAAGCGTGGAGAAGGCACTCACCCGTTGCGGTCGAAGTCCATCCTCTGCAGCCACTGCTCAAACGCCTTCCTCTCGCTGGGCGACACCTGCACCTTCTGCTCAATGTTCGACGGCGTCACCGCGGACAGGGCCATCGCCTTGTCTGCCCCGGTCACCTCCCGGAAGAACTTGCGCGTGTGCACCACCACTTCGCTCAGCTGGATCTGCAGCGGGTACACGCGTGTCAGCCACGGCGCAAAGCCGTCCCTTCTGCGAGATGCCATGTGCAGGTCTCGTTGTCTAGATGATACTGATCTGACCAACTTGGTCGGCAAATTAGAACGAAGCCAGAAACAGAAATTAACGACAACCCCGGAGTTTTATTCACCAAGAGAAATTCACTTACCATACTTACTCCAATAATGGGGTCGACCCTACTGTTAGAGAACTCGCCAAGAATAAGAAAAAGCATATTCAAATCTGTATAAGTCAAACCTCTCTAAAGGGGTTTCTGAAATTGTCTGTTAATGGTTGTGACTCAATCTACAAGCAATAATCATTCTGAAAACAATCCAAGGTTATATTGATACGCATCATATTTTTCTATTAAAGACAGGATAAAAAAATTGTGACACGCCCTTTTTTCAGCAATTCGGTGTCGAAACTAGAGGGCGCCATTGGACTTGCGACCGCCAATCATGAGTGATCGCCTCTTGCGCAACAAGAGGGCTGACCGACAGTGGATTGGTTTTTTAATGCGTGGGATTTGTGTGCAAGAAGCAATCACTCGCGACTGGCTGTTGCACATCTGCTGGCAACCTCTGGTTTGAGCCAAATCGTAAAACAAAAACAGGCAAGTTGCAACCTTTTGCTTTTAATACAGTAAACTTTCGTTAATTCGACCTCGACGGGACCTTGAAATTTGGACGAATTATCCAAATGATTGAATTAAAAAAAGAACAGAAAAACAGTTAAAATTAAACTTTCTTTTATTGTCCAAGGTACTCACGGATGGTCTGCGGCCGTCTGCGCTTAAAACGCGTGTCCAAAAGCATGCTCCGGAGAGCAGCGTAAGTAAACGTAACGTCCCCGAAAAATCGCGCACTACAAAAAAATGGAAAAAAAAAAGTTTTACGAGTCGACTTTCGCGCCGGGCAGCCAGACCATCGGCAACCAAAAAAAGAAAAGAATTTGCGTTTTCTGGCGCGCAAGATGGACCGCACTCGATGGTACAAAAAAGCGCTTTCGCGCGCTGAGAAAAGCGTTTGCGAGCCGACTTCGGCGCCAAACAACCAGACCATCGGCGACAGAAAAAAAAAAAAAAAAAAAAAAAGAAAACGAGAACTTGCGTTTTTTGCCGCGCAAGATGGACCGCACACGATGTTACAGAAAAGCGCTTTGAGAGCGCGCGCTGTCTCCGCGCCCGACCACGTGCTATGTTCTCCGCACTACTCCACGCCAGATTGGTTGCGCTGGCTTGTGTCATTCGCTACGGTCCATGATCCATCTCAACGGCGTAGAGGAGCAGGCGCATATTTGCGCACGTTCGGCTTTGCAGCAAGGGGCCCGCGCTTCGCCGTACCTTGGTGGTTTTTCTGCCGTGGTGCCGTCCAATGAGAGGCCGCGCGCATTCGTTCGGGACGAATTATCCGATGCGGAGTCTTCCCGAGTTCGAACTATCAAACTTTTCCTCCCATAGAAAGGGGACTTTCGAACACGATCGAATTAAACGAAAAGTCGAATTAATCGAGGTCGAACTAACGGAAGTTTACTGTACTGAAATCGGACACGTACCTATCTAATTTTGAGATTTTAGAATGATTAGTAGGCAGTCCCAGAGGCCACTTTAGTGTCCCTTTAAGGGTGTGAAAGGAAATTAAAGGAATTTAGACAAGTATCTATTTCACAGTGTTCCGAGTAGCCCACCCTGGCTAAAGCTCACTCTTCGACTGTGCCAGCCACATCATTGTCCGAACTTCAACCATGTACTTTCGTGCCATGACACTCATGCCGTGCTACTGGCATTAAGCTTCACTGGTTCCCACCCATGTGCTTGGAGAAGCAAGTTAATATATCGCAATTAGCGTGATGGGCTTGGAAATTTTGATCATGCAGGTCGGTCAACCATAGATAAAGGTAAAAAAAATTGTCGGCTTACATTTAAATAACTATGGTAGCAGTGAGAAGATATGGGCCACTCGAATTTCCATGTATGTACAGGCATAATTTGTTGTATCGAGGAAGGTGGAAACACGTCGACCACACCGAACATGTTTCGTTTCAAAATACTTTGGATGCAGCCGAATGCCACGATGACAACACAAAACCCACATGAGCCTCGGAGATCAATTAAGCTAAAGCAGCATGCTTAGAAATGAAACAAATGTTTCCACAACCGGTCTGCGCATTTTCTGTCTTTTGTTCAGCGCAGCCTGGGGCATCAAAAGGGCATGGCTCGTCCCTCCCCAGGACGATGATGATGGTGATTAGGTGTTTAATGGCACAAAATGCAACATAGGCCCATGCTGCGCCAAGTTCCTCACCAGAAGCTGAGGCCGTCCCAAGGCTGTCAACTTGATGGCTGCCAGTCCGGTGCCCTTGGTGGCATCTGCACAGTGTCAGACGTTCCTGTGGCAAACCCCGTTCCCGCGTGTTCAATGGCTGCCAAAAGGCAACCAAAATTACTGTACTTGCTAGTGTGGTCTGTAATGGTTTCTGGCTGCACGAAGAGTGGTGATGTCATTAAAACTGCTCACAGGGAGACAATTGCTTTTACCGTCCTTTTTCCCACCATTTTTATTTTGCACAAGCCACGCTCTGTACTTTTAGTGGCTGGTCCCACCAAGGTGCACCTCTTTTTCGTTCAGCCATTCCTGCTAGCGTCCACACTGTAAACTGGGACTAGTATCATGCGCCATTTACTCAGATTTCTTCGAGCATTGTTCTTTAATGAATGCCAAATACTATATTTGCCCGTTATTAAGAAATTATATAAATTGCAGCTGTCTTGTATTTTTTAACATGTTTTTCCTTCATTCTCCTTTAGATGAGAATGGCTCAATGGAATCAGTCAACTCATTCATCTCCTTTAGATGAAAATGGCTCAATGGAATCAGTCAACTCATTCAACATCTGCATGATTCGGTAATTTCGAGAGAGGGGAAGTCGATCCTCACCTGCGACGGCGTCGATGCATTTCAGAAAGGTGTCCATGTTCTTCTCACACTGGGCCTCGTTGAGGTAGAAGTAGGTGCGTGCCATGACGTGCGGGTGCCTGCGATCCGCAAACTGCTCGCTTGGCTGGAACTGCTTCAGCTGCCCTGCCCAGGCAAAGCAGACACTAAGTCTCGGCACCCAGTGCCCACGGCAGTCCCTGTCCCACATTTTACACAACTATGGTGCCTGGAATGCGTTTCTGAGTGCGCGTGTTTACTGCGGCCTGGAATGTGGTCCCCCGATTTCCGCCTGCCGACGTCGTAGAAGTGTCGCGTTGTAGCCCGCTGCAATCCCGGTGGTGGCATAGCCGAAAAAGCGGATGCGACAGATGGCTGTCTTGCTGCAGGTCGCCTTCCAGTTCGACAGTCCACAAAAGCCTCCGCAGTCGCAATTTGGGACGCTGAGACGACAATGACACTAGCGTTCACTCGCCCTTAACTTCTATGCCCAACCGCCAGGACTGCGACATCCAACGACCAGCACGCCGGCATCTGCGATGTAATCTGTTGCCACTTCAGGACCGCCTTCAACGCGTGGGCAGTTGAGGACACTAAACACAGCGGTCAAGGATGCATTCCAGTTTCCAGGCACCGTAAGAGAATGAATGTGGCCAGTGAATGACCCGGGCATCTCGCAAGAGGTCACGCATATTTTAAATGCCATATTCGCGACCGAAGATGTACCAAAAATAGCATTTCTGGAACGGCGTGTCTATTCTTGGCCGTAGATTATCTGGAATGTGCAATGCCCGGAGAGCAGTAAGGGACGTTCTAATATCTTCTAATCATCACAGTGAACAGCACGGAGTTGTGGGCTCCCACGGTATTAGCACCTAGACGGACAATAGCATGTGCATGGCAAGAATAGCAAAGCATTACAGCAACAGTGGCATTGTTCAAACGTGAGCTATTACACTGGTGGCGCCGGTATAGCCTAGTGTCTGAAGCGAGAAATACTGGGTAGGCCAGGAAGCCGTGATCACATAACATGCAAGTATGGCGGAAACTGCGGCCTGGCGGGCCAATCGGAACGTGACTACGTATCACTTGAGTGAGCTTTTACTGTGTAGTGGTATCAGGCTTTTTGCTGCGTCATGCACAAATATGTGGGCGTGGCGCACGTATACGTAGCGGATATCGAAGCCGTCAGCACGCCATGTGGGGCTTATCGTTCACCCTTTGCCAAGTTACACCCCGGCGGGGTATAACCTTGGGCCCTCGCTCTACTGGCGCCACCCGGCTGTTACCGGCAGGCTAAACTGTCACCAAAAAATCATAAAAAAAAAAAAAGGAATCTTGACGCTGAAAAATTAGCGCAACCGTCCTTGCACAAACACTAGGGGCCCATATATAGGGCGAGGGTAATTCTGAACAATCACAATACCAAAATCTTTTATCTATTAAAGGTTTAACAAATTCGTGTTACAGAACAAGATGCCAAAGGAAAGACAGTCTTATTTTTTCTAGGCCGCTTTATGTTGCAGTGTGGTCTAAAGGCAGCAGCGGCATATCCTTGGGGCGATGAGAAGTCGTCAGTCCGAACTCGTCGTTCCGTCACTCGGAGAAATGACATCACACACAAACACGCAAACCACACGCCAAACCGGGAAACGAACTTGAATACCCTTGCGTCTATGCGTAGTGCGAATATGAAGGCTCTTTGGAGCTTCTGATGTTCCGTGCCACGAAAAGACCGCCTCGACTTGCAAAGCAGAAAGACGGACTTCATCGCATCCGTGAGCGACCATCGAGACGCCCGTCTCGATGGAGGGAAATTTCACGAAGTGAGGGAAACCGCCAAAAATTGGGAAATTTTAGGCGACCAATGAAAGAGGGAGAAACGTGAAACGCCCATCACGTTGCGCTACAGGCAGTCAGTCGCCCTATGTCCGGAGGCCTTATTCTTAAACGTCTATCGTCTCCTCAAGATCCGAGCGTCTCTGCGCGTAACAATGGCGGAAGGTGAGCGCTCGTTCTCTTCACTACGACGCTTGAAAACATATCCGAGAGCATTCACTTCGAATGAGCGACTGCTCGGTCTAGTGATTTTGAATGTTCACCACGACATTCAAGGTCAAGCGGTGGACAGGCTGGATATTCTTTGCCGTGAACGCAGGTGGCTGTATCTTAATACGTAGGCCCTTGGCATAAATGAAATGATTAAGAGAGCACGTAAATTGCTTTCTGAAATAACTAGTCACAGTTACTTTTTAATTTGCGGTAATTTCTAGTCGAAAGCACGTCATTCTGATCAGTACACAAGGTGTGCGTGAGCGCAGCGCCACCCGTTGCTTAAAGTGCAATTGTTTTTACAATTAATTTAATATTCCTTACATCACTGACATTGTTTTATGTTATCACCATGTGTGCGTTTTATTATGTCCACTTTAGTACGATTTAACTAGCAGGCTTGAAGTGTGGGGTGTCTTTTCTTTATTATTTTTTCCTGCCTTTTATTCAATGAGCCCGTAAAAGTCGCCAACAGGTTTGCGAAAAGAAAGACTCCGGCGACTCAACTACATGCGACTCCGTCGTGCGAATGCTCGCTTGGATTTTCTCCACTGCATCCTCCTTCTCGAGCCGTTTCCTCCTCCCAGCTCTATGACGTACTCGGTTTTCTCCGGGGATAAAGATCTCTCGTGCGAATACACCGTATCAACCCAACGGCACAGAGGTACTGCTACGGCAGGCTGCGCGGGGCAAAAGGCCACCAACTGACACGGACACCAAAGGAAGCCTGGAGTCTGTGTAAACATGAGCGGCAGAATCGAAAGGCAAGAAATAAATGCTGGTGTTTCGGATTTCGTGCAGGTGGTCAGGCCGTGAGAAGGTTGCAACATCCATCCTCCCAGGGTCTGAGGAATGTATACAGTTTGCCGGGAGGAGCCTGTTGTTTTCGATACTTTACTGTTCCTCCGGCGTAGAGCCCACAGTTGCTTTTCAACTTGCTTGATTAGACGGCCGAGAGAAAATGGTGTCAGAGTCTTGCGGATTGGTTAGGGCGAGTGAGAGATAAAACTGAAGTTGGGTTCTATCAATGGGGTACTGGCAGCGGGTATTTATGCATGCCAAGGTTTTTACTTGTACATGACATTGAGAGTCCAAATACCCAGAACACAATTTGCGGTTCAAACTTTTTTTTTTTTTTCTCTTTTCACCCGAAAATTGCCGGTCGAGAACTGGCCGGTTTGAATCCCGTTCACTCTCTTCTCTGTGGTCACATGGTCTCTATGGTCTAGACACACACACCAAATATAATTAAAGTGGCAGGTCATCGAAGGAACACACTCAATATTAAAAATATTAAAAAAAAAATGACCGCATCTCCACGTGGTGAATGATGTTGATTGGGGCGAAGCTCTGGTGGTGCTGATGATACTGATTTTCTTCATAGGTAGTGCTGACGGTGCTGATTTATTTTTATTGGTCATAGGTAGTGCTGATGTCCGGGTTGCGTTTCGACTTCATTATTGCTGCTTTATGGTCGCTGAAATGCAGAGCCAGTGGTTCTTCTAGCGGATCAGCTTGGATCCGCAAGAAGTTGTGGGAACGCATCTCTACCGCTTAAGTCAACGGTCCATGTCAGAAGGAGAATGTGTGGTATAAATCATGGTTATATATGCAGTTGAGCATTTGACCGCAGCACCCTCTCGTCTATAAACGTTGAGCCAATGCATGCAAAGTTTAACGCGATTATATACGCATTTGACCGCAGCGCCCTGCATGTCCTGAATAGACGTTGAGCGGCTACATGCAACATTTCATCCATGACATCCCCAGATCTTGAGTTACTACCACATCTCAGAGCCCCCTACGGCGATGGACTAGAAATCCATTGGGGTCTCCCTGCACAGGTTCGAACCCTGGCGACTGCGCAAACATTTTTTTTTTCTTTTTTTAAGACGACAGATGGGATGGCAATTGATATGAGCACGGACGCCGGACAAGGCTAGACCCTAAGGGACTTCGCCCCTAAAAAAACGTGATACCCGACCACCAAGCTGATTTGCGCGAAGACCTCACGGAGCCGTTGCCCCTTCTCCTTCGTAAGGCGTGTTCGTAAGGCGAGACATTAGGGAGTTTTCGTAGACCGCGCTGCTTCCTCCGCTAAGCGTTCCGCAACGAAGAAGTTGATACTGCGCCTGCGCGCCGATAGCCTTGACTGTGGAGTTCCCGCTATCGTAGTGGTTGCGGAGGGCCTTGCGGGACGGCACAAACGATCTACGAAAACTCCCTATTAGGGAACTGTAGTAGACCGTTTCCGCAGCCCGCTAAGCACCCGGATAGCGCTCCGTAATCCACCACAAAACCTTGAACTACGCAGACAAGGCTGGCGGCGCGCATGCGCAGCTGCGGCGTTTTCTTCGGGGATACCGTAGCGGAGGAGAGAAACGATCTACCACAATTCCCTATTGCTCGCCTCACGAACACGGGTTGGCAAGAGCTTGAAAAACGTGCAAATGTCAAGCATGAAATGTTTGACTTTTGCCTCTCTTGTGCAACCTGCAATGTGCGCGTTTTTAATCTGCTCCGCACACACACACACACACTTAAAAAAAAAAAAGAAATGCGGTTGGGTGTAGTTTTATGATTTCCGGCAACTCTCTCCCCTTACATTTCTTCTTCCTCCCCGGTACAGTTTCGGTTTCGAGCAGTAGCGTTTTTTTTACTTTATTGAAAATGTATGTGACGCTGTAGAAAAATATTGATTGGGTAGTCTTCGACACCATACTAAATCAACTGGCAAAAAAAAAAAAAAAAAAACTTTTTTTTTGGGGGGGGGGGGGGGGTGTCAGTGTCTTTTTAAAGGAGTAAACCAGGAGGAGGAACTCGAGGAACATAAAATTCCGGGTGGGAACATTCGTCTCTGCCTCACTGTTGGATAGTGCTGCGCTAAATAAAGCTCTACGTTTGTAAGTGCCGAGGGGAAGAGAAGTCACTTCGCGACATGTTCGTCGCCAGGCCCGCTTGTCTCAAGTGGGCAAACATTGAACATCACAATCAAAGAAAGAAAGACAACATCGTAACTCATACCTAAAGAGAAGTCAAAGGAAACATTTCATATAAAGCTGCGTTCGATTTACTTACACCTCCTGCACCAGTGCAGAAAAGTGTAGGGCAATCTACTTCCGATATGTGTATTGAGATACAACCGGAAGTACACCGCACACTCTAGTTATTTTTTTATGTATAGGGTGGTTCAAGTCACCAGGCTCGATATAAAATGGACCGTAAAAATCGACGCCTGCACGTAGCCATCTAAACTTTTCGCCAAAGGTGTATTTTGCAGGTCGGTTTGTTCTTGTAAAATTGCAAAGCGTAGTTCTCTTTTAGTAATAGCGAGTTCGTTTCACGGCACTCGCGTCCACGCGTGCCCACTCGCGGCGTAAAGCGGGTTCGTTTCGGCAGGCACTCCACGAGTGGCACTGGTCGCACTCTCCGAGTTCGTTTCAGCGGCGGCACCCCACGCGTGCACGCACTCGCTGCACCGAGAAAATCGGGCGTGCGCCAAAATGCAATCCCGTCATGCCTCGCTCCGGCGAGGCCGGCGAGGAGCGGCAGCAGACGACGAGCGTTCGTCTGCTACGATGTGTCGCGGAACCGAAAGAAAAAAAAAAAAAAAAAAGATTTTCAGATAAAAATCGCGTCCCGCGGGCAATGGAATCAAACGCGAGCTTGAATTGTGTGCGTCTGCTATTTCATGAAGGAAGCAATTGACAACTCGTGCTTTATTTGCAAGTTTTAAGTCGCTCTGTTGCCGTACAGACGCTGAAAAATACCAGAGTGTCAAAAAATGCTCAGAAGGAGCGCATCACCGGCCCCCGAGATGTTTATCACCATCCCTGTGCGGGTGAAAAATTTAACATTTGTCGACGAAACTCCCCCAGCAGAAACCTCTGACTGCCCAGTAAGCATCAAAGAAAGCTAAACATAGTGACTTTACCCGAGGCTTGGGCAACATCATCATGTTTAACATTTACCTACGTCAGCTAACTTGCCTCGTCGTATTTTGTTCGAGAAAGCTCTCGTTCTCGACGTCCTCACCAAGGCTAATATCTAATACACCTGTAATAACGATCGAAATCGAAAGTCCCACGAAAAGTTTTGCTGGATATTCCAACAGACTAGTTTTAATCCGTACCCTTTAAGTAGTTTACGTATAATACCATGCTCAAACAGATCAAGCTTCTGCTCGGTCAGAATCATCAGTTTTCTTCAGTGTAAGCGATTATAAATATTGAAAGATCGCAACCATGCTGCTTCGTAGACAGCTGGGTGCGGAAATTTTCGCTGTCTGTAACTATCTCTACGGCAGCCGAGTTGCTTGAAGTCGTCGCAACTATAAACTACAAGTTGCAGCGTTGAACGTTTGTAGATAAACGTTGGTAGTGACTGCACTCTCGCATTCCCACACATCACTTCGAACAGAAAGGCGCTAGTTTCGGTTTGAGGTCGGTACTCTTTCTACAACATAGATGGCAGCAGCATCAGTCTTCTGCACTCGGTGCATTTGGCGAGTTCGTTTGAGTCCAGTTCTCCGTGCGACACTCTGCGAGTGCGATGCATTCTGGGAGAGAACTCGAACGGTGCCAGTGACCCAGACGGCAGGGTCCAGTAGCGGGGTGTGTTTGGCATTCGTATTGATAGATGGCGTCGGGGGCAGCGTCTGAAGGTGCAGCCCACCAGCGAAAGATAGCAGACGACACGCAGACGAAATCCGTTGGCAGCAAAAGCTCCGCCGTTGTGCAGACGCATTTTTTTACTTGAAGTTTTGCTTTTATTGTTCGCATTTAATTTTTAACCGAAGGTATATTTCAAAAAGATTATATTCATTTTAATAAACCACGGTGTTCGCGAGTCGTCGCGATAAGGAGGTAGCGCCATCTATCAATACGAACGCCAAACACACCCCGCTACGGGACCACTGTCGTCTGCGTTGCTGCCCGCCATAGATCCTGGCAAGCTTTTTGGCATTTTTTTTTTGACAGAAAGAGAGCTACGCTTTGTAATTTTACAAGAAAAAACCGACCTGTGAATTACACCTTTGACGAAAAGTTTAGATGGCTAGGTGCAGGCGACGATTTTTACGGTCCGTTTTAGATCGAGCCTGGTGACTTGAACCACCCTATATATCGCACGCAGCTAACATTTTTGCTTACGGCTTCCTCTGGCCTAAAAAAGCTAATTATAAACGATGAATGGATGATAACAGCTGTACCCTTTGTAATGGGCAGTAGCTTGCGCCACCTAGCCTAAAAACAGTAACGGAAACCTGATTTTCCTTTCTAAGCCAATGTGTTTCTTTATCACCAGGTCATGAAGATGACCACCAGGTAGACCTTAGGGGGATTGGGCAAAGAAACTAAAAACATCACTCCCCGCCTCTTTCCCACGGCAAGAAGGTCACCCGTTTTCCTGTGCTCGAACCTTGTCGGCGTCACCCAACGACCGACCCACCGGGGGACAGAGTTGAGACTTGGGGCCAGAGCCCAAAGTCTGCTGAGACAGTGTTGCGTCGAATTTGACTTACCAGCTGGCAACTCTTCCTTAGATGAGGCCTGGGAGATACAGCCTCTGGAACACACATGCAGGCGAAAATCAGTAACTTCAAAAAATCAGTTAATTGCTGATTATATGTGCAATCCACCTTCAATCTTTCACTGAGCTCACAACAGACAATAAGGTTCTATTGTTTGTTAAAAAAATTTGCTAAGATTTAGTCAAAGAATAGCAAATGCAAGAACACTTTTCTTGTTTAATCGCAAAACAAAGTTGTGCCTTCAAGCAAAAAAATCGCCACACGTCCTGAATGGCACCTGAAGATAAGGAAGATAGCGGAGATCACACACACGTACAATGAAATCGAAGAAAGATGAAGAGCTCAAAAGTTGTCTCAATGATCTGGTGCAGCTCACGATGTGTACTATCAGACACATATGTATATAAAATGCAAACGATAGAACATGTGGCCTTGGAGGGAATCGGTGGCCGAGTGTACTAACGCGTCTCAGCTCAGAGCGGGGAGCGAAAGCTTGCGCTGGGAACTTCCTGGGTTCGAACCCCACCGCCCCTGCCCGTTTCGATTTTTGGTGAGTTTCGTACCGGCACGCGTTCGTGTAATCACTACTGCGTGATGCACGTTAAAAATCCCAGGTTAGCGGTTGTACTGCACTGACTAAATTTCTTATCCATAGCTAAGTGAGCGGTCACCCGTTGAGGCGTACGAACATCAAGTCTGTATAAACATACAAAGCAAGCCAATTTTCATGTGGTCTTTGATATAGATGCTGTGCAACCCAGAGGTTCCCCATGTAGGACGCACACCCTCGCAGCCCCCTCTCCAGTCCGCAGTTTTAACTTTCATCGGTTCTTAGGGCCTCTAGGTAGCGCAACATGTCACGGGGTTCACGACCGCCTTTTGCATTTCATTTGTACAGTTGGCAGCAAAAGTTTGCGGGACACGCGAGCGCCAACCGAAATAAGGCCCTACCGAAATGACTTGCTGCGCCTTCTGACGGCGCACGGCCGCTCTCAAGACATGCTTTGAGAATTCACTTCCTTTCGCGCTCGCAGTAATGCCTTTTTTAATCGCTTCCATCTGACGTGCACGAGATAACAGGGACCGGTGCAAAGCGACACGAAACAATATCTAGATGTAAGGTTTAAAAGTGCAAACAGACAGGGACGATAGAAAATAACACAGACGACAGGGACAAGGCGCTCTTTTAATGAGACAATATCTAGAGAATGCAAAGCTTCCTCACCCATCGCGGTGATTGGTGGTTGGCGGTTAAGGCAGACGCGTGGCATGACGGCTGACTAAGCGGCCTCTTGCACCGGTCCCGGGTATCTCGCGCACGTCGGATGGAAGCGGGTCAAGAAAGACACCACTGAGAGCAAGAAAGGACGCGAATGCGCAAAGCGTGGTTCCCGAGAGTGGTGGCGCGCCGGCAGAAGGCTCAGCAAGTCATTTCAGCTGGCACCCCCGTGTCCCGCAAACTTTTGTTGCCGACTGTACCTAACAGTACCTTTCGCCAGCTCTCAATCGGGTCCCGACAACAACAAAGTTTGCGTTGCTGACGGCACCCTCTGTCTCCGCCGCGCGCTACGGTGGCCCCCGGGAAGGAGGGGTCCGTAAGGGTGTACGCACGCCATCTCGACCTGCTTGGCTTCTTGCTCCGAGAGGTCCTCCTCGGCGCTGTAGTCCAGGATGGACTTGACGCCGAACGAGCGCAACCGTTTGACCAGGGGTTGGATGGCGTCGGCCGATTCCCCGCCCACGAAGTGGCCGTAGAAGGTGTGCCGCATCACCAGCCGGAACAGGCGCCGCCCCAGCACCCGCTGGCCCACTTGCATTAGCTGAAACAACAGGCTTTTTCAGCAACTTCAATTTCGAGAGAGAGCACTGATATGGCAACTGCTGGTTCACACATTGCGGCTGCTTACGACCGAGACTGCATCACGACCTCTTGCGGTTTCTTACGACAGCAGAGCACACCGGCACGCTGGTGTCATCTATGAGGCCCTGGAACTGCATTTCACTAGAGCAAAAGTTTTGTAGCATATGCGAGACCAAATGTATGTATACTATCTATTACAAGTGGTCATTATCAAAATATATTCAAGCCAAAAGTGAAAGAATGATACACGCAAAAAATAGGAAATTGCAAGTGTTCCACGCCAGATAGATGGTACCAGCGTGTTACCTCGTCATGAGTGATTACAAGTAACGTAACACACTTGATCGTAAACTGTTCCAAAAGTGTAAATGCTAAAATATATATTTGCTGATATTTTAGTGAGGCAAAATATATCAAAGAGATGCCAAAAACCATACTAAAACCGGTCAGATATGCACCAGCTTTTCAGCGAACCACCAGTGTGTTACCTGTTGTTGAAACAACACTGGGCAATGTGTTGCCACTGGTCTCTAAGAGATCAGTGTGTGTTTCGCTATGATAACACTTTCGTTCAGTCATTTCTGTTACGGTGTTTTTCGCTACTGTCTCTGCCAAAGGACAGTGTTTCTTTTCGCGTCTAACGCTATGTACAGGAATCTTTTTTTATATTTTGAAAGTTTATGAATGCACAATAATATTTGTTAGAGGTATACTGCATACAGAGTGTTTCACGCAAGTCGGTTCTGGTTTCACGTAACTTGAGCCAAGGTTTTTAGTGAATTTTGGGAAGACGAAACCGAAATATGTTTTGTCATTGTTGCAGCAAGTCCAGCTATTTTTTGTACATACTTTTTAAGAACCGGAGGCGACGGATGAAGAAAAGGACAAATACAAAACGTCTAAATTGTTTGCCCAATGAAATAATTAATTCATATGAATTAATGAACTTTTGAAATATTCTATTTAGAGCAAAACTTCCAATGATGAAGTTGTACAGCATCCTCAGAAACATCTCATCCAGTGTTTTTCTGTTTTTGTTTTTTTTATCAAAAAAGCTTTTAACACAATTCGTTGTTCCAAGCTTAAAGAAAACAAAGAAAGCCCGCGAATTATGAAAAACTAAAAAAACAAAAAAAAAAAAAAAAAAACATTGCAAATTGCCCTGCCATTGTGTTGCGACGTGGATCGAACGCGAACGTTCTTGGTTTAGGCTAGTAACCCCCAGGCATTTCTTTTCAAGCTGTGCCTCCAGGTCTCCCCACTCCACCCCATTGACTGAATTTATATGTAGGTCACGTGACCTAAAATTTTCCGCTAAATCGAGTGGGGAAACTGAATTTCCGTATAGATCACGTGACGTCATATTTTTCCGCTAAATTTAGCGGGGAAATTAGCGGTTACGCTTTTTGAGGCCTTCCTTCACCTGAAAACCTAGCTAGATGAACGTAAAGGCGATAAAGTCACGGAAAAAGGTAGCAGTGATTCCGTTTTTGCATCATATCTCTCACAATTCAAAGGCCTGCGCCAAAAAAGTTTGAAATTGATGTTGTCTTTAGGCCAGATTATAAACTAAACCGCCTGACTCCGTTTCAGGATGGTCAAAAGGTCTGTCAGGAGGCACATCACGAGCGGTCAGTTCCCCGTGCCAAGAAAGGGTCGTCTATGGCATGAGATATCGCTGGCTTGTGGTTTAAAGACGTTAAGATTTGCAAATGACACGTTAGTAGAACATAAAAGAAACGTAAAAATAAAAAGCGCCGAACTCAGAAATAGCAAAACATATTGGAGAATGTAACAATTGCAAACATTAAGAATCTAAACAATAAAAGATTGTATCTCCCAGGCCTCGATGCAGCTTAACAGTAAGTCAAAAAAGTTCATTGGAATGAAGGTCTACCCACTATCCTTCATTCAAAACCAATCACAGCTCGGCGTTCTGACGTCACCACAAGTCGTCTGCAGGAAGCAGACGACTTGCTTCTCCGCATTGCTATGCATCTTATCTCGTCGATCGTTTCGTCGGCATGTTCAGGGGTTAAAAACGCTAAAAACAAAGGACGAGTAGGAGAGACACACACCACAGAGCGCTACTTGCAACAGGTTTAATGTTGGAAAAATAGTTTCATAGTTTTTCCAACATTAAACCAGTAGCAAGTAGCGCTCTGTGGTGTGTGTCTCTCCTACTCGTCCGTCGTTTTTAGCGCTTATAACCCCTAAACATGTTCAACCAACTAGCCCAAATCCAAACCCTTCATCGGCATGCCCCGCGACAGAGTAGCCGTCAAGTAAGAGAAAGTACGAGAGGCAAGGAAAGGATGCGGCCGCACGTTACTGAGTTTCAGGGACGCATTTCATGGCTGCGAGTGACGGCCCTTTTCTACCGTTGTTTACGTTCGTGCACGCTTTTTGGAATCTGCTTTGTCCGTTTGTGACGTAGATGCCCTTTGCCTTTTGTTTCATCACGCCATTTCCACGCTTCCAGCGAGTTATCGGGGCTCCCTGCCGACTACGGGCGAGAGTGTCACGCCGCGAGTCCGGCCAGCCGCCGATCGGTCGACGGCGGTCCCCGTGCGCACGCTAGCCGAGACGCCGCTGCCGGGGCTTCTGTGCCGTCCGGGACACGGTAACCTTTGCAGGGAGCGAGAGTATTCCTTTATTTTATCTCTTCTTGTCTCTGGTTTTCGGGTGTGATGATGACATTGCGCATGTTTACTAGTACTTCGCAAAATCGTCACAATTTTACTACAAGCGTCTCCTAAAGCCACTCGTCAAATTTTGTGGCGCGTAATGAAGCCTTTTTCGCCGAAACGACAGCCCTTCGCGTGAAAATTTCGTCGCCGCGGCATATCGAAACTTTCTGCTTGTAACGCAATCGTACCAACACCGAAAAATTCCGCACGTACCGGCTGAACGTCATCATCGTGAGGATCCGCACGTTTTTCCAAGTTAACATGTAAACGACTTGGAACCTTTGTTGAAAATATTGTTCATGCCAGCGCATGTCCGGGCAGTTAGCGGCAACCTACACCTTGGTAAGAGCGTCCGCGCAGTGCGAAGTCAACCACCAGCATGGCGCGTGGCCCCGTCCTTCCCTAACGCGAGTCACGTGCAAGGCATGTATACAGTTTCTGAATATGGCGCTTTGCCTAGAAGGTAATCGAGCGATTGAAAATTCCAAGTATGTTTAAACAAATAATTCTTCAGAAAATACAGAACGGGTAAGCTAGGAAAAACTAGCGGCAACCATCGAAACAGAAACCGAAACTACCACTTTCCTTCGCCCTACAAACATAACAACGCATTAAAAAAGAAAAAGACGAAAGAAGGGTGCAAGCAAGGACGATTGTCGCGCCGATTCTCTGCTCTCGCCGTGTTTTACCGTTAGCAAACGTTAGGGAATCAGGGCGCCCCCTCTGACCCCTCGTCCAGCCAACACGTCGGCCTTGCTCCAAAACCAAACCAGCCTTGTAGGTTCATTATGCAGTCAACGAGTTGGACCCATAAAAACATACCCAGAAACTCGTTTCGTCGTAATTATTTGCACTGATATCTTTCATTACAGCACAGAGATCCATGGTGAGATATGAACTGTCTTTTTGCAGAAGGCAAGCTGACCTTACGTGACAACTTGAGTGGACCGGTAAGCTTGAGAGAATGAAATTTCTGAACTATTTGCCCTCTTCAAACTAATTCTGAATGAAAAAAAAAAAAAAAAAATCCTAAATGCTAACTCTGAGCAAAAGTGCACTACATGCCGCATTCAAATCGCCGTTCTTCGCTGCGCCACATTCGCTTCGGATACGAGCAGCCACGATCCCAGCGGCGAGCAGCCTTTCGGTATACTTCCTCTAAACATATGGATGGATACCATATAGAGCTAAACCTTCTTAACCTACCTGCATTTTTTACTATAAACACTTAATCTTTACCTAACACAGAGAACATTAAGAAAGCCCTCTAACAGCAACACTGCTACAAATTACGGTCCGTGGGACGGTTGCAATGTAATCCTTCAATGCAATAAATTTGCAAAAAAAAAAAAAAAAAAAAAGAACCAACAACAAAATGGCGGATTGATGTCATGTGAAAGCACCGTATAGTATTTCTAAAAAAAACATGCTGATGTAGTGGTTTTCGATGACGCCCAGCAAGATTTTAACTGGAGTCTCGTTTATCTTTACGAACCAAAAAAGTTGATCATATGTAACTGCATGAATTGGCCCCTCGGTAGTGAATAATAAAACGGCCGATTGTTCTTTTTTCTTCTGCGATTTCTAGTTTAAAAAAGTGGCATATGTTTCGGCTGGAAAATTGCGTCAAAGACGAGGTCAGTTCGTGCAGCAGCCAGTGGCTGCAGCACTGTGGAAACAAGAAACTAAGCAAGCCTTGACAACGTAGCACGGAAAAGGTTGACGCAGAGTGGAGCACTATTTTTAACACAGCAATTGAAAGTAAAAGTTTCCAGGGGAAGCTCCTCCCACCTGTTTCGACTTTAGCTGAGCTAACGCTGGAAAGGAGGTCGCCTCCTTTCCAGGGTTCGCTCTGCTAAAGGGGACGGAGGAGGGCTTTGTGGGAGGGGACTTTCCCGCTTCAAGATGGTACGCGATATTCAGATATTTAGCGTAACAATAACAATTCTAATAATGTCGCGTTCTTTTTCTTTTCTTCTTCACCTTGACAATAGAACACTTTGGGCTTTATGTGGGGCGCGATATTTGGCTGAACTTCTCTGCACGCGCGGAGGCAGAAAGAAAGGCACGAGGCAGATCAACACCTCTTAGACAACAAAGGCTACTGAAGGTCACGTCAACTACGTCACATCGTGGAGGCCATATAGCGGGTCACAGACTGCACGCGAGCGCTGCCTCAGGGTTCAGCTGGAACTCGTGTCCAGGGAACACAAGTCCCCGCCCGAACGCTAAAGTCCAGAACATACGGCCTCGTTGTCCAGGGGGGGCA